ATAATCACACAAAAACTGTATTAATTACATCACTGCTTGGCCAATGGTTCTTGAACATTTCGAGCTATCTCTTACATCTTAAATTAACTCATCTCTGTTAAGTTGTACATCACCACAAGGTCGTGGCCTGCTGGCAAGTTTCCTTCCAGCATCTGTCTCCTGCAGCAGCTATGTGGCATCTCCCTGACTCCACCTATTTTCTCCTCTATCTTTGCTTGGAATTCCCACCTTACTCTATTCTGCCCTGCTATAGGACCAAAGTAGCTTTATTCATTAACAAAACACATGCACAACATACAGAGGGGAACCCCACATCACCTCCCCTTTTTTGTCTAAATAAAATGGAAGGTTTTGAATTTAACATGGTAAAATTACATATAACAAAACAGTTATCAAGCATGAATTACAGTTATAATATTTATATTTCCTTTATCTTTTATCATTACTAACGAAAACTATAATTATAACTATGTATTCTTCAACTCCATCAAAGACACCAGAAGGATATACTATTACCTAAGTTAACAGGAAGTGCATTTTAAGCAACTTCCAAAGCTCTAAAATTGACAGAGACATCTTACTGCCTGGACAGCCACCTAAAGTTTTTCTGTGCCATTATGGCATCCATCTTCAGCCTACAGGTCCATAGCATCTAGCAGACTTTTTCATGAAGCAGGAAATCTGAAAGACTGTTTTGCCTCTATTGGCAGTTTGTCAGTCACTTTCTTCTATATCCTGCAGAATGTCTGGAAGACCCTTTTATGAAGCAAAAACCCTAAAGGATTGTCTCACCTTTAGGCAAGAGTGGTCATTTTTCTGGGGGTCCTACATGTCCAGTTCATACAGCATACCTTGAAGCAGTCTAGGCAAGAGCAGTTTCTTGCCCAAATGGCTAACCAACTCAATAAGGAGCCTCTTTACTGCCCATCATCCTTTTGAAGAAGACTGGTGCTACCAGGAACAGATGTGTCTTATTGTCATAAAAAGTCCTACATTCTTAAAACATTTTGAATGCCATATTCTGTTAGTCTTCGAAAGGTTTGAAGAATAACTATCCATCTGAAATATATCTCTATACATCTAGAAAACCTAAGTAACATGACTAGAGGCTTGACTATTATAGATGATTATCTCTTAGTATGTATTTCTTAATTATACATTACATTTTTAAATGAGATGCACGAACACATTACCTTAATGAAGAACAGAAATATACATATAAAAAACTGACCTTAAATTTGTATCAATAGACTAAGATCCATACTGACGCAAAGTATTCATCTCTATAGCATACCCTATTTTGTAGAAATTGACTGTGACCCTTAATCACTTAAATCAATCCTCCCCCATTTTTTTGAGACAAGGTTTCTCTGTAGCTTTGGAGCCTGTCCTGGAACTAATTGTTGTAGACCAGGCTAGCCTTGAACTCACAAAGATCCACCTGCCTCTGCCTCCCGAGTGTTGGGATTAAAGCTGTGTGCCACCATGCCTGGCAACAATCAACTCCCTTTAAGTGTAAACAAACATTGATAAATGACCATTTAGGGAATTTGGATGTAGTTCTCTCCAAACTGCTTCCTGTTTTTTGTTGGGAAAAGCAATTTTATCCTGTACTATGAAGCCAGTGAATGAGGCAAACCTGTCTGTAGTTTCAACAAGAAACTTAACTAATGAACTAAGGAGCAATCAAGGTGGTTGTGGCTTTGAGGGTCGGGGGAGAACTGTTAAACTGGTAAGTCTGTCGGTACCCTAGTCACCAAACACCATCAGCTCTGAGGAGGATAAATTTCACCTGAGTCATTTTCTCAAGGATCGGGGGATCATTATCTGTTAGGTATATCTAAACTATACAAATGTTGTTTAGGCTCAACTTTGATAAGAATATATCATTCACACACACACACACACACACACACACACACACACACACACACACATATATGGATGATAATATCTGAACATATCAAAGAAGTTGATCCTTTATGAAGTAATTTGTATGTCTAAGTATACCATTACAGAACATAACTGTTTTCTCTATGACTTTGTTTACCAAATTAGCTACAGCTTACCAATGTTAGTAAAAGCAAGAAGGTGAGATATGTTTTGAAACTGGTTTTTGTCAGCCTGAAGAGAGCTTAGAGAAGAAGAGGCCCTTTATCGGACCGTTTAGGTTATCACCTTGCTGCTTCATAAAACAGGAATATCCCAGTCTCTGTTTTTCAGCTGTGGTCCTAAGACATAGAGCATAGTCATAATCTGTGGAAGGCAAAACCAAGTTTTAGCACTGTAAACAATCTAGTCAAGGGGATTATTCTTATGTTGTGGAATCTGGCTGCCAACAAGATACATCCCTGTACCTGAATGCTTGGAGGTACAGCTTTAACACCTCAGTAACCAGCATTGCTTTAAGTCCCATCTTTCATAAACCTTGTTTTTAGGACAGGAATTGTAATACAGAAATCTATACTAATCAAAAAATATATTGGATACCTAATGTCTTTTTGGTGGGGCCATCTCTATGTGGTCATTTTTGTTTAAGATGGTGTGAACTCATATAATCTCCCTCTTTTTCAACCTTAGTCAGAATGGCATCTTTAATTAAGGTGGTGGCAGACCATGTGGTGTTTTCCAGAATAGTTTCAATCTGGAGATATCAGTTTTACATATTTTAAACTATATCCAATTTCTAACTTGTTTTTGTTTAATAGGGTAGAACAGCATAAAATAAATTTGACTGTCATTATATCAGATTCAGGGCGAGAAAAGCCCAGAGGCAAATTCTGATCCCAGGCAGTTTGTGGACACACAGAACACATACAGTCAGGCATCCAAGACCAGTCAGGAACAAGCATGCAGTGGCCACATGTTTACACATCCAACTGAACCTGAAGTAAACATACAGGCACAGATCCATCCTTACACACAGACCGGACGTTTTAACAGAAAGACAGACAAGACTTTCCCCAGGAAAACCATGTCAGATGACCAACTTACAAATCTTGAAATAAGGATTTACAGTATATAGCAGCACATAAGAAACCTTAGGAATAAAAGACACTTCCTGGCCCTGGTGGTAGAGGCAGGGGCATCCACCATAGCTCCTACAGGGCCAGCCCACCTCCAGCGGCCACTCACGGTGCCCTCTTGTGGGCAACAGTGTCCAAATTGGGCAGGGAGCTGTAGGCTTGCAAACCTCAGGGCAGTGCCCCATGCACTTAAGCCTGAAGAAGGCGCTGCGGAGGCATCTGCAAAACAGAGCAACAGGGGAGAGCGGGCAGAAGCATAGAGTGGAAGAGTTGGAAAAAGAGATGTTTAGGAGAGAGGAAGTAGAGTCCTAGAGACCCAGTGATGTGGCTCCGCAGGCTCAAAGAGCCATAGCCATCTGTAGAAGTCTCGCCGAAGTCCAAACTGAGGGTCTCCCAGGCTGTTGGGGAAGCGGAGCAAACAGCCCGTTTCTCCAGCTTCCTTTACAGGCTGTAATGAAAAGAAGGACGAGACATTTATACAGTTTAGTGTGGAAGAGCAGACAGGAACAGAGATAGAAGGGAAGGGTAGAGACAGAGACAAGCGGAACAGGCTAGGAGACAGGAGTTCAAAGCCCCTAAGCATGGATGAGGTAACTCAAACTAACATATGGTGTGAGATAGTCCTAACTTGAATAAATTTTGTCTCCAAGGGTGTCTGGGGATCGAACTTGAACCCACGAGTACCATTCACAAGCCTTTTGCCTGGGACCAGAGTGTACAGAACTGCATCCAGTTTTAAACACTTAGAGTCGGGAGGGTTGTGCCTCTATGGAGACTGTCTCCCCTACAAGGGAACCCCCAAGGGGCAGGGACTGCCCAGAAGGGTTAAAAAGACCCAGAAGGGGTCCTGGATCCCTTATAGTATTTTGGTTTGGAAATGGGTGACTTAGCCAGCAAGTCTTGTGTGTCCAGTGGCTTCCCATGGCCATGTGGTCAGGGGAAAGACTCAACTCTACCAGGGCTGGGAATCAGACGCTAAGTGGTTTTGAAACTAAGGAAATTGACTTTTTGTCCTATGTATCAGAAAATTATCTTTATTTATGTATACATATACATATGACATGGAGCAAGAGGGAGACTAAGGGAGGACGGGACATGAGCTACTGGGGCAGGAACGAGCAGGAGTAAAGGGACAACATGGTAAGAGGTGGATGTGTCTTCATATTATCACCATGTACTTGACAAAAGTGTCTATATGAAACCAAACACAAAGCATAGTAAATATGCCCCAATTAAAAAACAAAACAAAACAAAATCAAACCCTGAACTATGTCTTTTCTATTACCTCTAGATGGAATGTTCTGCAAATGTGATTCAGTTCCGATGGTTTTCTTTTGCAAACTTTCTGTCTAAATGATCTTTCCGTTGAGGGAAATGAGATTAGTGTATTAGAGCCCACCTCTCCCTTTTAAAAAGACTATATTTTTGATTATTGATATTTCCTGATCACTCAGGTAGATTAACATTGTTTACATAAATGCATCGACTTGCTATTCCATCAGCATGTAGTTGAACTACCAGTCAGAGCTAATGTACTTCCTATGTTACAAAGCATCTTTGAGACTTGTCCCGCACAGAGACAATACTCAATGTCCTCAGTTAGTTTATGAAACTCCGGTCAAAGAAGAGCAGGTTCTACTGATAGTTTTATACCAAGGGTTTCTCATGTGAATTCTTTACTTATGAGTTGTTTGGTTAAATCAAACATGAAATCTGTAGCATGGAATTTCTTTACATTGTTTTTAGCATGTAGTTCAGTGATTTTATCTTGAATTGTTCTAAAGAGAAAGGTTCCATCTTGGCTACGTGTCAGCACCACTTATCTAGATTGTCCTTCCCCTGCTTGGAAGACAACTTTGAGAATGGAGGCGTCTGTTACAGTTCTCTATGACATATTATATAAAAATGGTGTATATTTTCTATGACACAGAATAAACATGCAAAGAAACAATTTTTTCATCAAAGTGCTTTTATCTTTAATTAGAGTGACAATACCCAAATACAGGAAAAGAAAAATTAAGTAATTAAACGAGTTCCTCAGTCCTATAACATCATATTCATAAGAAATAAAAAAATAAAATTTCAAATATCAGTTCACCCAACTGTTACACAAACTTGATGCATATTGAGGCAGGACAACAAGACCCACAGATACAGTAATGTTGGGGACAGCCACTTACAGAGAGCTTATGCAAAACTAGCACATCCCAAATGGCAGGAACAACCAACCCACTGTAAATTTCAGTTAAACGAAACAGTTTGCGGGAAGCACTAATATTTGATGAAAAAATTTCAAAAAATAAATGTGCCTAGTGAATGCTCTCCATGAAAGATGGCTGCTTAACCCAGGCAGGCCTAGCAAAATTCCTAGCAAAATAGAGGTATCCAGATCTTCCTTGATGTGCTTTAGAGATTGGGTAGTGTCGATCAGAGAACCTGTCAAGAGGGGAATGCATAGACAGCTGAAGTTGCTGAGAAACTGGCCTATTAGTCAAGAGCAAATGATTTCTGGTTTTTTTCTACTCATGCTTCCAAGATGGGATGATTTGATGCGTAATCCTAATCGCCAACAGGCTAGTTAATAAGTATGAAACCAATTTTCTAGTCTGAGCACATATATTTGTTGCTGATTTTGGATAATCGTCTTCTGTTTGTTGGAAGAGTATGAATGAGTAGTCATACAGTTTGGTGACTGATGTGGAATATTTTATATTTCAAGCTGGTTAAACCAATATTGCTACCCTTAAACATTATCAGATCCAATCCCAAATATGCTAAATTTAAATCCCTGCTTCAAAGATCACTTACAATTGAATTATTAAATTTTGGAGATATAGTGTTTCTGAGGTATAAAATCTCCAGGTTTGAAGTTAACCAATATTGGTTGAAAATCTCCCATAACACAAATAATCCCAAATAGCAGGAGAATTATCTTTAAGCATGCTGGTAACCCTAGGGGAGGGAGTATAAAAATGGCACTAAAAATGAGACGTTAGTGAGCTATTTCTTTTGTTACAAATGGAAAATGGCCATAAATAGTCTAAAACTCTAAGACAATATTCATGGTTAGGCCTTATAGGTTATGAATTTTGTGTAGTAAAATACTGTCCAGTTGTGTACTTGTTTTTTATGAACTTCTGATGTTGAACATTAAGTACCAATGGCTCAGTAAATATTAAATACAAGTTGGCCATTTATAATATTGTATATGCAACGCACACGCTCAAATGGCACAGAGAAGGTTATCCAAAGACCTGTAGCATGCTTGATAGATCTGGTTATTGGCAAGAGGGTGCTGTCTGATAAATATTTGTGTCTTAAAAACTGTCAATTTACACTAACTTTGTTTCCCATGCTTTTGTGTGCTGTCGTTCATTCTACATTTGTAACTGAAGAGAAAAAAATGGAGGAAATTGACTCTAAGAAACGTCTTGGAATTTGTATCTTCTTTTTCAAGTTTATTTTGATGTGTTTTTATTTGGTCTCCAAGTTCACAGTTGCATATGAGAAGACAACAATACTTTTTAGAGAGCACCCACTTATTGTAAGGGAATATGAAGGCAAGGATAGTTGAGAATTGTTTAAGTCATTAGCTAGTCCATATAGACATATAAAGCCACTGGCATATTTCGATTGAATTAATTTCTGTTAGAAAATATACTATATATTTAAATATGTATTGCCATGCTAAGAAACTTATTATAGGAGGAAAGTTAGTCACACTCTTCTTAGCTAGTTCTAAGAGTTCTCTCTAGCAAGGAGTCTAACTTGATTTTAACTTCTGTTAGAAGAGAGCATCATTTTGGACTCACTCTTACTTCCATTTCCGTTTATAATTCTCATCTGAAATCAATATACTGGGCTTTGCATAGTCTGCCAGGGAGGAAGGTCACAAGTTCAAACTGTGAGGCCAGTGTGGTAGACACTGAGCCTCCAGCAGAACAGTCCCCGGCTCCATGGATGCTGTGGGCTTGCGCTTGGTGCGAGGGTGATTGTGAAGCTTCAGTGTGGCTAAGAACTAACAGAACAGAGCTGGGGTGGAGCTTCGGCCACGGAGAAGGACTGAAGAGTAGACACAGTGTTAAGAATTGCACCTTAGAGGTCCCTGATTTAGAGTGGATTCCTTTATTGCTGAGAGAGGCAAGGTGTTCCTGACGCATAATAAAGCTAGAGGAACCAAGGCCTACAAGCATATATTCACTGGGATTTATCATTAAGTGATATGAAGTGAGTGTAATAAAACTCAACCTGAAATAGCTAATGAGGTAAGACAGCGAACAAACAAAATGGAGAAAAATACATCCCAAATATTATTTTAAAAATAAATAGTTATAAAATAGTCAATAACACAATCTGAATTCAAATTCACTACAAGCATTTATCCTCTAAATATACCTTAAGAACCAAAGGAAAATAAAAAGTTGTAAATTGAATGTTGATGCCTGTCAGCTTGCTATGGTCAAGCAATGCCCAGACTCATGTTACATGTTGAGCAGTTAGTCCATTCACTTTGGGCAAGTCTGTGAAGCAACCAGCTGATATCTTGAGTCAAATCATACATCACTACTGAAATCAAACTTGAACGTTTTTCTGTGTAGCTGTTTCTTGCTAGACTAAGTTTCCTCTTGTCTTTTGGATAATTATTTTCTTGCTGGTTTGCTTGCCTGAATCAGTGTTCTCTGGGTCTGCTTGAAGCTTCATTCAATCAAACCAAACTGATGAACAAAGTCATGACTCGGTTAGGTGACATGCTGCTGTGGTCGCTCCAGCTATACCAGTAAATAAAATTTTTCTGTATCCTGGAATTCCCACTCATTGAATATATTTAATCCAACAAACGCCACTTTACACACTGATGATGAAGAAATACAAGTCAATGGGCTACAACATTACTCTTATGCACGCGACTTAAAGGGCGATAATTAAACTCTCCTGGGATTCTCCTCATAGGGGCTCTTTAATCTCTGAGACGAGAGGAGTACAAAAGGAGAGTATGTCCCACTCTGAAGCCAGGAGAGAAAACACCATGTGTCTTCGCATGGTAGATATGTCTAGACAAGCGTAGAAAGTAAGTTAAGGGCAAGGGCAAATGTCAAATCTGTTCAGCTTTTCCCTGGGTCATTCAAATCACCTCAACATCACTGCACCCAATTCTCAGTCTTGGGATAGCGCTACCAACACTAGAAAAAGGATGGCATTTAAAATAAAAAGGATGGCATTTTGAAAATCAGTTTTCTTACTTAGTTTTGGAAAGGGTGACATATTTCTAGAAAAATAGACATTGTATAAATTTAATTGCAAAATTTACCGTGAGCAATAAGGAGTTTAGACATTGTGTAATGTGTAAATAGCTCCTTGTGCTAAACTAAATGTGTCTCATTTGTCAGGACACCTGCCCTACCTGCAAGGTGGGATGAATACTTAGTGTGTGCACATTAGTCACGAAAATGCAAAAGTGGCATAAGACAGCCTTATAGCAAATTCGCAGGTCGCATATAGGTATACACATAATAAATAAATACAAATGAGACAACCAACAAACCAAAAGCTATTGTGTCTGCCTCACAAAGCTACTGGAAATTCTGAAAAAACGCAAATTAACTAAATGAATAACAAAGAATATTTACAAAACAAAAGAGCAAAGGCCAATGTCTGACTTAGCTGTTCACCAAACTTTTCTAGGGTTTAGACTTCTGGGAGTCTGTTCACCTCTGAACAAACTGCCGCCAACACCATCTTGTGGACAAAGGAGGTATGTAATAAGTTTCTCAGAAATGCAGAAGAGCTGAACCATGTCTGGGACATAGCCATCGAAACTGCTTATTAACTCAGAATCAAATGGTAATATGTATAGGCAGTATATTGTGAAATAATTCCTTAAGCTTTGTAGTAGGCAAAATGTCAATCTTCAGCTACATCGTGAAATACAGAAAAAAAAAAAGTACAGGAGGTCAAAGTCTTTAAATGGCTCTGATCAAGGTAAGATGTTGAAAAACTCAAGACTGACTGCTTCTGTTGTGGTTGGAAGTAGCGGTCAATGCTTTCATGCGGAAAGAACAATGGACAAATGCCTAGGTCATTCTTCTCTCTTTTCTTTTGCCTTTAAAAGCCAGAAAAAAATGAACTGGGAATAAATCTTGTCTACATAGGAAGATTTCTAACTAAAATTGCTAACGGAACTGGCATAAAATTTAAAGAGTTCTAAAATCTTTGTTTATGGGGAAAAAACCAGTTGTAATATTGTCATCATGGCCTGTAATTATTTTGTATTTAAACATATGTGTAGTACGAATGAGAGAAAATTAATAATTCTTCCTCTTGCTAAAGACAACACCTAAAGTAAACAGCTTTTTAAAATTATTTTTTAAATGAAACAAATGGTTATTTAGAGGAACATTTCCCATTCTACTTGGGGGACCAAATTATCCTGTTTATTTTTATCAAAGGGTTGAGCGCCTGCCAATCTCTTTGTTATGCTAGCTAGACTAAGTGTTCCTTGTAGCCCTACAGCTGTAGTTATGACTACAGCTGAGGCAGAAAAAGAAAAACAACTTTTCAAGATGAGTCAGGGTTTGTGCTATGTAATCTCAGGCCTTGCTCTCTAGTTATATCAGACTTAGTCACATACCCCAGTTTTAAAAATGAGCTTGAATCACGGTGACAAATCACTCTCAAAATGTATCATGTAACATTTCATCCCCTCCTGAAGTCACATTAATAAATCTAAATCCTTAAAACAGAAATAAGGCAGTCACACAGTCACAGAAATTAGAAAAAGGAAGAATAATAACTACTATATTACTTAAAAGAAAGGTTTCTGTCGTGTGGAACTGAAGTGAATGCAATTGAATATAATTTACAAGACAAGAAATCTTTTTCTACATATAAACTGATCAATAAAAAAAACCCAAATGCATTGATCACCAACCAAATGCTCATGAAAATATTAAAATTATGAAATAAATATTTTTGAATAAACCAAAAGGCAAAAGGATAAATAACCTGTCAATTAATATGAAAAATAATCTTTGAAAACATATAAAAGTCTTAGCTTTACAGCAAATTCAAGTAAATTAATATGTGCCAGGTATTTTGTAAGTTTTCAGAAAGTTTAACAAATTGAAATCTCAAAATATACACATAGCACCATCTTTTCACCTTATGTACATGGGGGGGGGTAGACTGTCATTTGATTATGAAGATACATATGCAAATGTCTGCATCTTCCAATTGCATGAGTTTAAAACACAGCACCATTGCAGGTATTGCAGAAGAAAGAAAATAAAGTAATACGCAACAAAATGTTTAAAACGTTGGAAATAAATAAAGTAGACTTGGAAAATAAATACACTTGGATGGAAATACACAGCGAAAACTCAATATTAAATACCTAAAAAGCTATATTTATGCACAATTATATTGACAGTACCCGGCCAGCAGCTCATCTATTTGTAAGGAAAGCCAGTTCAAATCATGGGTGCATTTGAACAAACTCTGCCTTACACCAGGCATGCTTCCCGGGAAAATCCTTCACAGCTTTCCCCACTCTCAGGGGGCTTGCTTTCTTAAACTCATTGTCTGCTTTAATTAGTGGGTAGAAAACACCATCCTATCCTGTGAAATATGTCCTGCTCCTTGAGGTGTGAACTAGTCTCTGTGACCGAAGGGCTCTGGTGGTGCACGCTCAGCTTCCGGGCGCAGGGTTGGGGGGGTGGAGGAGGAATCCAATGAATTAGATTCCAGCAATGTCCATCCTTGTGCTAAATATTCTATAAAATCAGTTGTTTCCCACAAAAAGTTGCTCCAAACAATGAATGGGTAGGGAGTATAAAATACCGCTGGATAATTCAGCTAACCCCACTGGAATTTTGCTTCCTTTTAGAGTATATGTTTGTTTATTTATTTTCTCCCCCAGAGCTGAGGATGGAACCCAAGGCCTTGAGCTTACCAGGAAAGTGCTCTACAACTGAGCTAAATCTCCAAACCCGGAACACACCGTTTTGAAGCATGGGGTGCCTTTCATGTAGAATCTCCATCTTTCCTTTGCAGAACTGGACTCTTTCTAGGAAAACATCCATGATTCTCCTTAGGATGGTGTGTGCTCCACCTATTCATTTGCTGGTGCTTAACCCTCACTTTGCAAAGTGAGGACTCTTCTGTTTCAGTCACTACAAGTCCTGTGCTTTGTCCTAATTGGGGGTCTGGGGATCAGGAGAATAACGCATGAAAGAGCACAAAGTCTTGCCAGCCTACTAAAGTTTGTCAAAATCCAAAGACTTGGTACTTGATACTTTGACTTCAACCACCAAACACCTCTTAGGGAAAAACCAATTTCTTTATCACTGGAGACTCACTGAAGTGAGCATAGGGTCAGTTTGGTTCCTTCTTTCTCTTGTAGCATATGTTCAATGTTATGAGGAGTACTTCAAATTGAGCTCACAGCAAGGAAGACACAAAGTCATTTCAACAGTTGGCTATGCTGAGTTTGGGGACTTCCTAATAAAGAGTCTCCCATAGTTTGTCTTTTGAAAAATAACTTAAAAATGAATCTCTTATTGCCTATTTTTCTGTATAAATAGAATGAATGTAGGATGGTATAAGACTTCTCGTAAAAATCAGTCATAGAACAATTGACAGCAGTAATGTGCTGTCTCAATCTCAAAAGAGCAGAAAGATGGTTTTTAAGCAATAATAGTAAACTTAAACATGAAGAAAATATCAATATAAATTTCAAAAATTCAGGTTCAGAAATCAAAGTCTAATCGTGTTGATAAGTTCACAAACTGTATGTCGTCTGTGGCCCATATCATCTCATGGGATTTCTTCTGAAGAGCCCGTGATAGGCTCGCTTGCATTTTCATATAAAACTGAGTAGAACTCAGAGCCACGGCAAAGCAAAACACACAGAACAAAGTTGGGAAACGTCTGAAGAATACTGATTTGCAATTACTGTCAGATAGGATTCTGATGGTGGCTTCAGATGTTTGTGCCACATCAGAGGAAAAAAAAAGCAAAGAAAAACGGTCCAGAAATCATACGCCTTGCGAGCACGTGGCTGAAAAGCAGAGATCAACAGCTCCAAGGGCATGAAGATCTCACCAGGAACAACGTCTCCCTCTGTAGTGTTCATTTTCCACCTGCTTTCTGCTGGGCAGAAGTCATAGGAAAGAGGCAGTCTTCTGGATTACATCTTCCACTAGGGCCTGGGGGTCCTTGAGGCCCTGGGGCACCTGGTGAACCTGGCAAACCTGCTGTTAATGAAATGAAATACACCATGAGAATGCAGGTCACATGCAATCCTGCCTATCTCCCTCTCTCCAGCTGCCATGGGCCATTCCACTGAACAGGTAGGCCCACAGGGGAGAAGAGGCTCATCTTTTAGAGGCCTGCATGCTTAAGGATAATATGTCTATTACCTGAAGATCCAGGAAGGCCTGGACTCCCTGGCAGCCCAATCCCAGGTTCTCCTCTTTCCCCCTTCTGTCCTCGGTAGCCTGCAATAGAGATAAATACAAAGAGAGATATGGAAACATGAGTATTCAACCCTGGCATGCTCGTGGAAGTACCGTGTTCCGAGGCATTCTGTCTCTTCACTCATCTTGCATTAATATTCATTTCATATTATCATACATGAGACACGAATGAGAACAGTAAAGCACGGAGGATCTGATAACTATGCAGCTAATATGTAAAGTTTAAATAAACCAAGCTTTGGATAGTGAGGATTACTTTTAAAAATCATAAAAGTAGGCCCTGCAGTGGTGGCACACGCCTTTAAACCCAGCACTTGGGAGGCAGAGGCAGGTGAATCTCTGTGAGTTCAAGGCCAGCCTACTCTTCAAAGCTAGTTCCAGGACAGTTAGGACTGTTAACACAGAGAAACTCTGTCTCAAAAAAACAAAACAAAACAAAACAAAACAAAAAAACCCCAAAAACCCAAAACAAAATAATAATAGTAATAATAATAATAATTAATCTTTAAAATGCATTGTAAGTACTTTGGCAACTTCTCAATCTTTCACATTGTGGCAGATAAAATTTCTGGCCCTTTACATTTATAAACTTTTACAGTAAAACATTTTTGTGTTGTTATCTTACTAATTTGACTCAAATTTGTATTTTGCCAATCTTGAAATTATGAGTTGTTTGTTCCTTTTATTTCATTTAATTATCATTAATAAATTGATTATTTCATTTCATAAAGTCTATATTCTATGCTGTCTTGTTCTCATATGAAATAGAATTATTTCTGTATATTTCTTTCCTGTTTCCTGTATCTAGACTCCACATCAGAATTTCTGTTGAAGAGGGCTCACACACCCATCACAAACATATAAGAGGAGATATGAACAATATATTTAAGGATTATCTATAATGATAAATTCTCATTATTAAAAGCTTGGTTTGTTGGCACTTTATATATTAGCTGTGTATCTGTGAGACCCTCCATGTTTCATTGTACCCAACTTGGTATTTATGTTTACTATATGATAACTGTGAAATGGATGATTAATATATGATGAGAGAAACAGCAATATACACAACATGAGCTCAGAAAATAGCCTGGCTTCTGAGGGTGTTGCTTTCATATGGATACACACACACAAACACACACACACACACACACACACACACACACACACAGACACACACTGTGCTCAGCCTCCCTGGTTCTGGTTCACTAATCGACTGCTGAGCCCTTCAGCCATTTTGACAGTCTTGTCCTCTGGTTTCCAAAGGACACCACTGCTAACCGTTTTGTTCGGTCAGAACTACCCTAGGACTGTCAACCATTCTATGGGCCACCGCATTAAATACAGGGGAATAAGAGGTTTGCCTTAGAAGCAGATGCTACCTAAACTATAAAAGTTCAAAAAGAAGAGCAATGACTCCCAGTATTGTCCTCTTAAAATTGATGGGAGTGGGTAGGTAGGACTAGATCCTTTGCCTCCTCCTCCCCCTCCTCCCCCTCCTCCTCCTCTTCCTCCTCCTCCTCCTCTTTCTCCTCCTCCTTATTATCTTCGGATAACTCTACATGCAAAGTTCTTTCTGAAATGAGAGAAGCATTTAAGTATGCCAACTTATTTCTCAAGGTTTTAAAACAAGTCTTTCTTTTTTTTTTGCTGTTTAAAAAAATTAACTACATTTTGTGAAAATGCTTCCACAAAAGCTCACCCAAGAAAGTGAGCTTTGTTAGGAAAGCTTGCCGTCATTTATCGAGACTTCTGCTGGGTTAAGCTTTTCAGGTTCACGTTCTTGAGCTGTGGCAATCGGCCCCGTGTTGCAGCCCCCTTCCAGGAGTGACAGAACGCCGAGCAAAGCTTTCTCCAGCACAGTGGGAACGCAACTACCACAGCCCCGCAGAAGGGCTAACATGAGAATTCAACGGAACCGCTTTTGGCTTTAATAAGACATCAGTCATCACCCACTCGGGAGACTCAGAGGATACGGACAAAACGGGGTCCCCTTTAGCATCTTTCCCAATAAGCTTCCACTGTCCTTTAAGAAGACTGGGTTCCTGGAAGAACACCCTCGGGCTTTCATTAGTAAGTCTTCATAAGAGTATAGCCTCCCCCTCCCTGGACACATTCCTGATGGCTTCATATCAATTTCTTCCTTGCTTCTAAAGAATCCTGCTTTGCAGAATAAGCACAGGACAGTTTTTAAGGTCTTAGTTTTTTTTTTTTTAATTCCTCACTAACTATATAAGATAATGAAGGTAATAAAAGGACCCCATTGATTGTCCGTATTTCAAATTGTCACTTAATTTGAGTTAAAAATGGCTTTCTTTTCTGACAAGTATGGTTAAGAACTCATACATCCTTCAGGCAACTCCTAACAGTGAACTACCCTCAGAGAGAGTTCCAAGTGACCGGTGTGCCCTGAGATACAGCTCAGCAGAGACATTTTCTGTTTCTTTCTGCACTGTGTTTTGCACGTCAACCTTCTGTTGACCTCACTTGTCACAATGAAGAGGGCTAATCCAGTCAACAGCATTTAAGTTGGCCTGGCTGCCCATGCCCTGCTTTTGAAATTGAGTAGAGAAAAGCATTGAAGGAATACGTGTGGCTTCATCCTCTGAGAACTTCCTATTTCCCTGTTACCAGGGAAAACCTTCCATTTCTAATGCCCTCCCAGAGAAGCAACAAAAAGCAGACAGTGGTTGCTGCCTTTTCATCTGCTTCTCACCTTCTCTTATTCCCCCCTGTCCCCTTTCTCCTCCCCCTCTTCCCCCTCCTCCTTCTCTCCTCTCCCTCCTCTCCCATCCCTTCTTCCATGAGATTTCTTTGTGGCTTTCAGGGTCATCAGCACACCATTTGCTGATGACTATCAGCAAAATTCTTTTAAAAAAACCCACCAGATCAACCCCCATCTCTGCAAACTTTATTTTTCTGCTGTATTTCCGGCAAATTTAACATTACAAAGAGCGGGAGTGTCAATAAACAGCGATATTCACTGTCAGAAGCCCCATGGGGGGGAAACAAACTGAGGCAACAACTTCTAAGTGTGTTTGTTGTCAGAAACTCTGGTGGGACAGAAGTTGTGTTCATTTTAGCAGATCTTGCCTTAAAGAAAACCGGAAATCATGTGGGGAATTCCCTCAAATTCAAGAATTGCACTCAGATCTCTATTAGAAGTCACAGTCTGTGATGTGCACACAGCAGCAGGCTAAAGCCACAAAAATCTCTTGCAAAAGGATGGCTCCTCAGTTGGCTGTGTAGTGAATATGACTCTTGTTTTCAACACCCCCCACTCCCGATATTGTTTACTTAGAGTTGCCCCTGACAGAACCTTCCAAATCACCTGGGAAGGTGCCTGGAGCGATGAGGGTGTGTGGGAAGGTGACTCCAGTCGGAACTCTGTTTTACCAGGTCACTCTATTTTCCATCTTGTATATTCTCTTGGACTAGAAAGGTTTGAAGGATACATCTGAATTTTCTACTGGCATTAACCTGGCTTGTTCTTCATGTGGTTTGAGTATCGCATGTTCAGATGACATTTAGAGGTCTTTCCAGTTCTCACTCATTCTGACTTCAGAAGAGACTCAATGAATAAAAAATAATAGCCACCCAATATTAGTGTAAATGGGGAGGGACTTGGTCCTGCCTCAACTTGATATGCCAGGCTTAGTTGACTCCCCATGGGAGACCTTAGCCTCTCTGAGGATGGGGGTAGGGAGGTAGGGAAGATAGGAGGAGGGGAGGGAGGGGGAAGTGTGGTTGTATGTAAAATGAGTAAAATAAGAAAAGAAAAAAATAAAATTTATAAAAAAAAGTGTATACACACAGAAGACTACCTATGAGTCTACACACTTCCCTTTTCTTCAACTCCGAGTCAAACTTCCTGACCTACGATAAATGGAAGACGGATATTTGTTGGGCCAAAATTATCTCTGGGCCTATACCTCGAGGCCTGTAGGAAGAGAAAAGCCTGGCTCGAGTTTGAGGGATAGTCTCAAAGCTACAGAGGATGAGACAGCAATATCTAGGTAGATGGCCCTCCAGTCAGAGGTAGGGCTTGGCTGTCTCTCATTGGCTGGAGGTACCCCCACATCACACGATGCAGCTTAACCTATATAAGTTGACACTCACAGTAATAAACTGAGCTTCTGCTTTGACCTGACTCCCTACCTTGTCTGATGGTCCTGTGTCGTGGGGCTGCAGAATGGGCAAATAGCGCACTCCCCTTTCCCTGGGGAATAAGGCTAAGGAGGCCTGGCAGATATTTAAGAAAACAATAGTGGTTTTGAAAGTGAGCATAGAGGCCAACTCTTATGCGGACTTCCCACTGAACTCGGTGTGACTCATGTCTTCGCAGTTATCAGGTACAGTAGGTTTCTTTTGCTGTGAGTTTGGAGCTTGGCAAGGGGGCTTTGTGGTAGCCACTTCCTCCAGGCTGTCCACTGTGGAATGGGAACTGAGCCTGGACAGACTCATGGGTGACACGAACAATCAGGAAATAATGATCTCTGCAGAAGATTGAAGCACTGTGCTCGAGTGGCTAGAACTGGATATTCAACCCCTGACCACAGATCCACACGTGTGCAAAAGTTCTGCTTAGTTTTCAACCACCAGTCTATGTAAGCATCCCATAGTCAGCCTCCTGACAGCATGACCCAAATGGTTCTCATCTTCTGATCGGTTAGCTCATCTTTCCAGGTCTTTCTGTGCTGCCTTGCCTTTAGACCAACTGGCTTTTCTTTTGGAGCTCCAACCATGGCAAGCTGACCACTCACACTAGCAACATCCTTCCTTGCTATGCCTTCAGTAGTTGACAGTGCCTCTTGTTTCTACTGCTCCCCCATCTCCACACTGACTGCCTCCAAATGCCCAGAGACAACTGCCTCTCGTAAGCTGAAGAAGCCAAGCTGAAGTATCTATGGGTCAGTTACGAAGGCCTCCCGTTTCCTCCACAGGCTAGCAGAGAATTGGGGCTGAGTGGGATCCATTCTAGGGTTCAGCCAGAATCTAAAAACCGGGGGTCCATCTTCTTCCTGAAGTGGGGCCCTGTGCCCAATATTGAGAATGGTTTTACTGGAGGCTGCTGTTCTGTCCCTGTTGTGTACAGGACTTGGAAAGGTGGATAATTAAAATGGATTCCAGAGTAGAATTTAATTCAACTCCAGCAAGGTAAACTTCCCAGAATGCTTAGGAATAACTTTGGTGGTAGCAGAGGTTCCTAGGGCTAAAATTTCTCTAGTCTTGTTTATCATGGTTCAGACATACTAAACTCGGCATTTCTCTGTCAGAATGCATGAATCGTCTGAATGCAGACCTATCTAGTCAGTTTGCAGATTGCTAACCACAATTTTACAGAATAGCTGTGTCAGAATAACTGAATCAAGCAAAATTTGAGAGTATTTGTCTTCTCCAGTCGTCATCAGTGGTTCACTTCCTTTTCTTTTTCCTGCCAACCTAAGTTTGTCTTTAGAGACTTTAGAGGTCATACAAAGTATCCTTTAATGTAGAGGATTCAATAAACCCACGTTGGGTGCCAGATGTAGACAATTTCAATAAAGCAGTCCCACACTAGCTCAGAATGAAGTCTAATAAAGGTTTTTTTTTATTTGGGGTAGACTCATAGATCAACAGTCCTCTGCACGGATGGGGAACAGGAACCGAATCCAGCAGACAAGAGGATGCACATGTTTTTGCATTTGTACCCAAGACCACACCCAAAGTGGTCCAGCATCTTAAAGGCCATTGACTGAAGGAGTTCCCACAGCACTTTAAAGTTCAAAAGTTATCATTACCTGGCCAAGACCTACCCAAGATTAAGTTATTTAAAAATTCTGGCATAGATGGAGTAGATGACCTCCGGGCCCTGCCCCTTACTAGGGAACTATTGACAGAGGCTGGGGAAGGGGGACTTATTCCTTTTTTGTTTTTGTTTTTTTTTGGTTTTGTTTTGTTTTGTTTCTTGAGACAGGGTTTCTCTGCGTAGCTTTGGAACCTGTCCCAGAACTTGTTCTGTAGACCAGGCTGGCCTTTTAAGCTCACAGAGATCTGCCTGCCTCTGTCTCCCAAGTGCTGAGAGGACTCATCCTTAATGGAAGATGTGACCGCTGGTAGGTCTCACATGTCTTAGGGGATGACTTTACACTTGTGCACATATGGGGAGCCCTAACTGGACTTAGTGAGTCATTAAAAGAAAGACAGGAACTTGGGGAGGACCTATTGAGAGGGCATGGGGAAACTTGGATGGGGAATGGGGAATATAAATCATTATATTTCTCTGCATACATTTATGAAATTCTCAGAAATGAATATAAGTTAAAAGAAGATTATGTCTATAACTTTAAAAGTTACCATCTACAAAACTCTACTACACAATCACTCTAACTCCCCCATTAGGTGTTAGCCCCAAATGACTACTGTAGCAGAATCTCCTGACTCTTGCTTCAGTTTAAGACCCTCTGAAGAGAAGCCTTGCCTGGCAGTGAGATGGAGACAGAAGCAACTCTACGATTGCTCTATAACAATAGAGCAGCAGGGAGCATTGCTGTTATTGTTACACTGGATATCATGAAGGTGAACTTAGAGTAGCAGGCATGTCAGTTTTAAATTTGCAGTAGTAATAATATTTATCACTAGAAAATAAAATATTAACTAAATAGTTCACAACACGTCATTAAACACATATCACACATATGTTTTTAATTGCAATTAGCATGTTATAAATATAAAGGATTAAAAACTTGGCAAATACAATATTATACTTGCACCTTACCTTGGGGTCCAGGGTCTCCCGGGGGTCCAGGTAACCCATCCTTCCCTGGTGGGCCAGGCCTCCCATGAGCTTGTGCGGACAGCATTGCTGCTGGCAGCTTAAGTTGGGATAGAAACACAGCCATCCTCTCTGCATTTGTGAAAGAAAAAGATACATCACAAAACGGAAGCGTCTTTATGTCAAAGGATTTCCAAATACTTTTATAAGAAGTTAAAAGAAATCAGTTACTGATTTAAGCACATATTATATATCAACTGGTCTGACGGCTGTGTTTTTACAAAATGAAGAATCAGTTGCATGAAGTTATTTGAAGACAGAATTGGCTTGCTGGGTGACTCACAGTGTCTAGGAATTACTAAGGTTCCTGGAACCTGGCAATGGGGTGGCCAAAACACTTGCCTAATTAACTTGGTTATGACTTGTGGAGAAACCTTGGGTTCACTGTTTCCAGAATAAATGTAAGGCACTTTCTAGCCATGTGTTGAGAGTGTAGCAATTTGACACGATCACAGATTCTTTAATACCCCCTTCTGCGGTTAGAACACAATCTCTGTGTTTTGAGTCATGACTGGATTTACTTTTCTTATGAAAACAAAAAAAATCAAAAGCGGAATGGACAATGTGTAACCAGAAAGAATCATTCATAAAAGAACGTTCTAGTTGCTTCTCAGGTGCAGTCCCAGGAAGTAGTCGCTGACATAGAATACAAAGTGGGGTCATTCAAGCGACATCTATGCTAGTGAACTTGTAGGTGCCCACCTTTCCCCTGCAGCAGACTTGGGTCCTATCTGTGACCTTACTCCAGATTTAGTGACAGAACAATATAACTAAGCAACGCTTCAAGATGTTGACCCACAGATCATGTGAACTAGTGGGTATCTACTCTTCCGATTCACTCATATGTGTGGGAATTACATATTCTTACATGACAACAGATGACCCATGTTGCAGGTGACTCAAACCACACCACCTTTTCAACAGCGATATTTAGTTTCTGAAAAACTGCCATTGGATTCATTTCATCATTTACGCTCTACAGTAGGCAAAAAGGTCACGAATAACTTTTACTTTTTAAGGAAGGGAGCCTCTATGCCCTCATTATGCGTTTTCTGGGTTGCATTTCTAGTTAGCGAGTCATTAGTTCAGTCAGGTTGGTAGGAGGAAGTATGTCTGGTTTTGTAAAAGGAAAATGTATCCAGCATTGCTGCAGAGGAAAAGTCTCTCTCTGAATCCCAGTGGCAGCCGTAGAAACATTGTTTCTGTGAGTCTCTGAGAGCCTAATGCTGGACTAGAGAACACAAATTACAGTCAATGGACACATCCATGCCATTCCAAAGAGTAGGTAAATACGTTTCTGTTTTTTGTTAAGCACTAAGGAATATATCTTTATGAATTAAGTCCTTTCTAACACAAGATGCTTTCCCAAAGGGCACATCAAAGGCATTGCCACTTATTTATTTGACAGACTGCCTGGAGCAAAACACTATGTATATGTGTCCCGGAGAAAGAGTCCACTGATGACAGAGAACATTAAAGAACACACCCTCTCAGGGGCTAACCATCAGCTCACGAAAGCACCTTTATAGTAGGTGCAGTGGGGTGTAACTGCTAAGTCTTAGACAGTTATTAATGTCATAGGACTTTGGGATGAAAGTGAGTATACAAAACTGAAAGTTAGCATGTTGGATGAGGTTAGGGAGATGACTCGGTGGGTAACGGTGATTGCCGCACAAGCGTGTGGACTCCAGTTCAGCTCCTCAGCACTCTTGTATAAGCTGTGAAGGCTCGTGTGCATCTGTAACCCGAGTGCTCAGAGGTCAGAGACAGGAGATCACTTGGACTTCTAGCCATCTGTCTAGCAGAGAATGTAAAGCCGAGGTTCAGTGAAAGACCAGGTTCCAGGGAGTAAGATGGAGGGTGGTAGAGGAGGACATTTGACATCCTCTGTGGCCTATGTGCAGGCACTTGGTCACAAGGGGCATATCCCAGCCAATCGCTTCCTGCCCTGCACACAGACATATGACACCGCCCCCCCCCCAAGAAGAACCAAGAAAACTGGTGTGCTAATGAGACTTGAAAGAACCATAAAAAAGAAGTTCAAAGACTGTATGAAAATATGAATAAGAATTTTGCATTAAAATCAGCTTCTAAACAAGGTATATTATCAACTAAATTAACTAAACATTCTTTATTTTATTTTTTAAATATTTGTTTATTTATTATTGTCACAGTGTTCTGCCTGCATAACAGAAGAGGGCACCAGATTTCATTATAGACGGTTGTGAGTCACCATGTAATTGCTGGGAATTGAAATCAGGACCTCTGGAAAAGCAGTCAGTGTTCTTAACCTCTGAGCCATCTCTCTGGTCCCCTCTTCATTTTATTTTTTAAGTAAAAACATATTTGATTACGGATCTCATGCAGTCCAGGCTACCCTTGAACTCCTGGGGTTCCAGCTGCTAACAACACACCTGGCTCAACATTCTCCATAGCAGAGCTTTTCATAAGGAATTGTGGACTTTGTTCTGGGATTACGGAATTTACTCATTTAAGTAAGAACTATTACCATGCTTTTATGAATCACATATATTATAAAGGACATTTCTTATCTGGTGTCTCAAACTCCAAAACAGCTGAGCCTCTTCAGCTCAATCGGAGACAGCGGATTAGGACTCTGTCAGCTCATGCAAGACATTTCTTGTCGCTATTGAATTGTTTGTTATTAATTCCAGACAGAGCATTGCTCAGTTAAATTTTATCTCAAGAGCATACTCAGTATTTTAGTCTGGAATTCATTTTGAGAAAATCATGAATTCACTTATCTATAAAAGCTGCCACGAGGCTCCTAAACTTGCTTTGCTTATATTATATATATTTTCATCTAATTAATTTTCAGTCTAATATATGGGTGATTAATTTTTAATATACAAAACTAGAAGAGGGTACAGTCTTGCCATGATAAGAAGAAGCTGATGGTTAATGTGTCTCCTCACCACACAATTTCTTCAAAAAAAAAAAAAACCCCAAACAAACTGTCTTAGTACTTCAAATGATTTCACTGGTAAAACTAACTGGCAGCTGAGATAGCTCAGCTGGTAAAGACGCTTGGCACTAACACTGACGACCTGAGCCCAATCCCTGGGATCCACACGGGAGAAGGGGAGCACAGACTCCTACAACTTTTCCTCTGGCTTCCGCACATGTACACATGCTGTGGCACATGTGCCAACATACATAGGTGTGCATGTGAACACACACACCAATAAATAAATGTGATGAAACATGTTTAGTACCTTTAATACCTAAACAGTTATTTGTCACCCTAATTTTCTTCTCTTTAACATAAGAGGTAAATTTACAAGTATTTTGTTTTGGGAGGATTTTTAATAACTTTAGCAAAACACAATTATTTTAAACAATTACTCCTAGCTGTAAATGAACTGGCTTTAAGCTACACCAAGAAACAGTCATTTAGCATAAGCTAATTAGCTCTTCTGAACCCTACCCTAATGCTCTATAATTGAAACTAATAGTTTCTTAGCATCTAAATGAATTGTGGAGGCCTGTATTCTTAATTGCTTTCCCTCTGTTTTCAGGGCTCCTTAGTCATTTAAACTGTTTTTTTGATTCTGCCTTCTAATGAGGCAGAAAATTAAAGACTTTGGAAGAGGTGTATATAAACCATTCATATTCCACCTGCCTGGGCAAAACAAGAGCTAGCAGTCACAAGAGCCAACAGACTGACAGGCGAGACTGAGCACCTGGCTTCCTTGGAGAATGAAGTTCCAGGGACAAGGCAGGCATTAACATGGATTGAAGAAGTAAGGGTCACTCAGGTGTCACCCAGTCCTCTTCTGCCTCTTGCTTCACAAGTACAAATTGTAACTTGGGTTTTTTTTTTTCAGAAAACAATTGAATCTTTTCTCCTAACACTCATTCCCATGTTGAATTGCCCACTTTCTTAGTATAACCTCATCTTATTTTCTTTTTATGTTCCACTATGGAAGTACTAGTTACATGATAGATCAAGGGAAGTCCTCGTCACTTGATAATACTGTTATCTTTTAGCCTTAAGGATAAAGAATTATCATTCACAGGATTACTAAATTGTTCTAGAAATCACTTTTGGGGGCATTTTCCATGGCTTTCCCTTATGTCTTATAATTTTGGAAAAGAAAATTACATATAGGTTTCACCTATGGGGCAATACAGCAATAATTTCTTGTGATATCTGAATCATTTCTCAGTTTCATTTTAATTGCTGTTGTATATTTTGGACTTATTTATTTTATAGTTCACAATGCTGTATTTGTTCACAGTCTTTGTAAAGTATGTTACTTTGAAATGCTATCATGGGTAAATACAGTGAGTTGAACACTCGCATCTGACTTAAGTCTCCTGGGGATGCTTGAAAAACAACCAAGACACTTTTAAAATCACGAAGCTCAAGAATAAGGAGACTCTAAAAGGAAAAAGTAGTTACACGGTTTTGGAAGCTGAGGGTCAGATTGCAGAGGGATATTTGTCTTGGTATAAAGCAAGAAAACTGAGACTTTACACTGAGAACAGAAACCAAATTTAAAATGCAAATTCTAGAGACTCAGAATGGGGGATAAAGTTATCTCTGGAAGTAGGCAGCAAAGGAAAAGAGTTGAAATAAAGTAAATAGATTAAAAGCTTAAGTATAAAGTGGTAGAAATGTTTCTCTAAGAATCTAAACAGTCTACCCTAGCCCTAGCAGCTAAAGGGTCCCTTTCTAAAAAGGGGGCAGTCTAGGGGAGAAGAAGGATGGAGAAAGTGAGGTAACTGTATTCCCATTAAAATGTAAAATGAATAAATAAAGGGAGATAGACTGTCTCTGAACTGACAACTCCAGACTTCAGCAATACTCTGGCTTTAATACTGGAAAAAAATTAATAAATGTACCCCTAAAATACTGCCGAGGTGGCAGTCAAGGTAGAAAACCGAAACGCATTCTTAAAGACACTGAAATCGAAAGACCTTCATTTAGAATGCCCAGCTAGCTTCCCCATGTGAAGACCACGGTTGGCAAGTTCTACATTCGCTCGCAACCATCAGTTATGTATTTTAGAACCCATTTTTCTGTGTGAACAGACAACCACAGCTCACTGGAGACAGAGGAAATCCTGTAAGGCGCATGACTGATTCTGGTTGAGTCCCTGGCAAACAGATGTAAATGGAATTTACAGAATATGTTGTGGAAAATACTGTATCTTCCATGATGCGTATCTATTGGATGATGCGTATATTCACACACACACACACACACACACACACACACACACACACACACACAAATATCCTACTTATAGATGAGTATCTGTTGGATGCTGTGTCTATGCACAAATATATACACACTTATAAACATCTTACTTATAGAGAGGAAAGAGATGTTGCCTTGAAATAGTAGAATGGGATAATATGTTATACTCATTCAAATACATGTATGTGAAAATGGAGAAAATATGGGTTTTCTGAACACTGGAAACCAAACGCAGAAATAACCCTAACCTTCCTGTTCTTCCTCAGTTGCAGGTTGGACTTTGAGGGTTTAAAGAGTGGAAAGAGTCTGTCAGTTTGTATACACTATTTCATAATTTTCCATATAGATGCAAATGCTCAATTATTATAGGGTAGGTCATAGCAAAATCCATGCTTCCCTGACATGTAGATAGCATCACGAGAAGCTGCTAAGTCCTCCTAAGGACAAAAGATGCTAAGGGGAGTCATGTGGATGGCATCTGTCTCTGCCTTGTGTTATCTGATCACCCTACCCGCAGAAGTGCTTTGACATATTGGCCAATCAAAGTGGGAATTTAATCTAACTTTAGAATGAATGCATGCTTGTGTATTACTATCCAGGTGGAACCCAGGTTTGAGATCATGGAGAATCATCTCCCTCCTCCACTTCTCAGGGTTGGGAATGAGCATTTAGCATGCTGAAGTACAGGGTAGAGGCCTGTAGGACAGCCCAAGGTGAGAAGCCTGTGAGGATCACCTATGAAGCTCAACGGAGGCTGATAAATCCCTGGAGGAGAGCTCAGAACTTGGGTCCTGTGTAGGGTTTTACACGAGGAGCCACCTGGACAGCAGGACCTCCTGAGGACCACGTTGGACTCCTGCTGAAGAGGGAGGACCCTTCCTGAGGCTATGGCCAGGCAGGGGTGTGGAAAGACTGCAGGAGCTCCCATTGACATCTTCTCTAGCGAAAAGGCTAAGAAAACAGGCTGCAGGTGAGCGTGGCTGAACCCTAGCACTGACTGTACTGCACTAGGTCACTGAACCTGTTTTAAAATGTGACAATCTCTGCCTTTAGAGGAGGCTTTGTGGAAAAGGAAACTGACCTTACAGTGCCATGATTTGCGAAAGTGGAGTTTTACCTTTTTTCTTCTTGGAAAATGGTGTTCAGAAGCCATGGAAGAAGGGGCTTCTGAATGGGAAAAAAAAATCAAGCAGACTGAATGTAAATGGTTTGAGGGCAAATGAACTTAAGTGTTAAATAAGCAACTGTAGGTTCAGGTGCATTTTGTGTGGGAGAAGACAGAGGTGCTAGGATGCTGTATGGAGAGTGAGAAGGAGAGGGGACAGTACACATGGAGCTGGAGGCTAGAGATTCCAAGCAAAAAACTTCCATTGGCTCTTTCTAATAAACCATCTTGAGGAAAAGGTTATCTGTGGCTTTGGCGGTAAACAAGCTCTCTCAAGGTTAGAGTGTCCTGCCATTCACCGGGACCCAAAGTGAGAGGTGTTGGGAGAGACGGGGGTAAAGCTAGGGGACACGTGGGTGAGAGTTCTAGAGCAGATTTTAGAAAATATATAGAGTCAGACTTCTATATATCAGACTAAACAATAGTAGACAACTTAGAGGTGTGCAGAAGGAATCCGATGACATTTGGAAAAACCTAAGTCCTGATTCAACTTAAAATTTGAAACATTCACATTTTATTACTACTATGACTACTCATTTATTATTTATTGTTATTGTTATTGTGTGTGTGTGTGTGTGTGTGTGTGTGTGTGCATGGCAGCTGTAACAAGGTGTGTGCAAAGCGGTCAAAGGACAACTTGCAGGAGCCATTTCTCTCCTCCCACCACGTGGGCCCCAGAGGTGGACCTCAGGCTGTCAGTCTCGGCAGCAAGCGCCCTCACCCACTGAGCCATCCTGTCAGCCCAGCTCTTGACTTTTCAATTCAACATTTCCATCCACAGTTAGAATGATAACATGGTTATACCTTTAGAGATGTCCCAAAGCTGTGCCAACCACCTTACCTCCCACGAATATTCTAAACGATAGTTTCAGGTTGGACCAATGTCAGAACACACATCACTTGAGTTTTATTTGATTTTGTTTTGTTTATTTAATTTTATTTTTTTGGTGTTGTAAGTCAAACCCAGGGCCTTAGATAGGCCGAGCAAGTGTTCTGCCACTAGAGCCACTGGACACGTAATAATATCAAACACAAATTCACCTGTTTAAGGTCTTTAAAATAATACACAATTAAAAACTCTTTTAAAAAGTTTTCAGAAGGAAGAAGCACGCAGCAAGTCTTAGCTGTTGAGAGAAAGCACTGATAGGCTGGAATGTGGCTTGGCTGGTAAGCGTCCACTAGCATACATAAAGCCCTAGGTCTAGGCGCAAGAACAGCATTAATAATCCTGGTAGGGTGGTCAAGTGCTATAATCTCAGCACTTGTAAAGTGGAGGCAGGAGCATCAGGAGTTCTAGGCCATCCTCAGGCTCCATGGAGAATTTAAGGCCAGCGTGCGGGTCTGTGAGACACCGCTTTGTTTGTCTATCTTTGTTTGGCTATCTTGGGCTTAAATACCAAGAGCTGGGGCAGGCAAACTTACTCTGAAAGAGTCAGAAAGTGAATATGTAGTTTTTTGCTAGCTATATGAAATCCGTCACATCTATTCAACTATTCACCTGTAGTCTGAAAACGCTGGAGAAATAAGAAAAAAAGGGAGCATGACTGTACCCCAAACCATTTTATCAGAAACCAGATCTGAATTTAGGTCATTTTAAATGTGTCATTTTGATATTTTTAAAAAATGATGATGGGAAATCCTATAACAAATATATAGAACTGTTCTCAGCTTGTGGGCCATATAAAAGTCCATCTGTAGCAGAAGGAAGTGGCTGGGAGTCTTTAGTTTGCTGACCCTGGTATAGAGCAAAGGACATTGTAACCCACCCTGGTTAAAACCTTCATAGGTAAATTAAACACCTCCCTATGGTGGCAGGGATGGGGGAACTGGACGTACTCCATGGAGGAGGAAAATCAGGATGGAGGGGGATGGGTATTGAGATATTTGAAAGGCAGCTACACCAATCGCACCAATAGAAGGTCCTTCACCTGTGGTGTTTTATAGACAAGTGGCGAGGAAAGGAAGCTTAAAGAGAAAATTTGACAGCACAAGGCAGACATTTCTGTCCGAAGGAGTTGCCTCTCTATAAAATGGATCTGCTAAGGTTGCTGTCACGGAGTCTTTCAAGAATGTCAGTCACTAAAGGGATTCCCCAAGAGGGAATAGGAAGTGGAGACTCGTTAAACATTCGGAACTATTACAAAGCGAATCTAACCTTCAAAAATCCTTAGGACCTCTTGATTAATGTACTTTTTGATTTCTTCAAATGAAACAGCATCAGCCTAAAGGAGGAAAAAGAACGACTATTAAAAGAGAGCAGAACACAAGTGGGTGAGAAACGGAAATGTTGGGCTTGGGAGACCTTGGCTGATAAACATCTGCCAGGCAAAATCTTCAGGCTATTTTGGACAGTAAACACTGTTTGGTCCAATGCTTGGATAAACTGAAGTTCATAGTTGCTTTACAAGTAACTGGGATTATAATCAGTGATGCTAATACTTTGCCTAAGAATGGAGAAATGTGGCTAGAGACAATTAGGACATACAGTTTCTGTTGCTTCATCTCATAACCTTAAAAGGCTCAAACAATGCATGCTGTTCATAACTAATCTCAATGGAATGCATACCCCACTCCTGGATACTGGAAAAATCTCTAACAATCACTGACATCATGTTGTTGCAGGATTATCCTATAAAATGTTTTCCTCATATCTTGCCTGTCTCATGCTACTATAACTTATATATTAATATAAATATATTTGCTAAATTTTAATTTTTGGTCGTGAACATAGCTCAGAAATGACTGAGTCATTTCTCCTGCCCATAAGCACATTTCCCATAGAAAACACCTGAGATACCTGGGTAACTCCAAGCAGGTACGTGTTGTCAACTGGATGCTTAGTCCTTTGACAAGAAACCACATTTAAAATAGGCATGTTTTATTGACATACTTTAATATTTTCAGAAGGAATCTCTCACTTTTCAAGACTGCCAGGATTTGAAGGTATCTCAGTGCTAGTCTTTGTATGTATAGTTATTTTCTGAGGCTCCATGTATGGCAATGAAGACAGCGTAGCACACGTGACAAGCTATGATGCAGGGTATCCCTCTCATTGCCAATCACACACTTTGAGGAACGCATAACAACGCCCAGTGGGCTGTGACCAGATGAGGGGCATGGAAGATCTGTGGGAAATCTCCATGGGAGGTGATTTTCAGACATGGTCCTGCTTATTCCTACAAATTAGGCAGTTGTCCTAAATCTGTCAAAGTTCCTGTGTTGGCGAGTTCTCCATCATTCTCCCCTGATTCCCTCATCATGTTTGCCTATCGAGCCTGTATGTATGATGATAAGACTGTGAGCTTGTCTGTGCACAAAAGACAATGTGATGTCCCCATAAGGCACTGATTTCTATTGCTCAGAACTGCTCCCTTGTCTTCCTTGTGCATGGGAAAATGAACTTGAATGAAAGTACCGAGACGGCAAGGTGGACATAGGTCCCACCCCTAACCAAGAAGTCGTCTGCAGCTAATACCTGCTGCAAAGAGAAATATCAGTTTTCTCTAGTGGAGTGTCACCAGGCAACTACACTCCAGGGTGGGTCACATGTCCTGTTATCCAATGCGAAACAAACTCAAAGGCATTTGTGTGGATTTCTTATTCTGTTTTGCTTTGTTTAGGTATTTTTTACCTTACTGGGTTTTTGCCTATTTGTCTTGATTTTTGTTTTTGTGGGATTTTTTGTTTCTTGATTTTTTTTTGGCTTTTGTTTCTTATTTGTTTTGAGAAAAAGAGATAAATTGGGTGGGTTGGGTGGGTAGGGAGGCGAAGAGGATCACAGAAGGGGCATGATAATATACAATGTATAAAATAGGATCAGCACATAACTTTAAATAATGGTGAAGACCAGCTTATTTCATATGTTTACAAAGGATTGGCATTTCTTTCATTATAGAAAGTCACATGGTCAGTCTGAGCCAGGAGCTCCACTTACCGGCATGCCGGGGATGCCTGGAGAGCCTGGAGGGCCCTGGTGGCCAGGTGATCCTACTGAGCCCTTGCTTCCTGGGGGCCCCACAGGACCTATAGCCCCTTTCATGCCCATAAGGCCTGGTTTACCACGTTCACCTTGTGGGCCTCTGTCTCCTGGAATTCCCTGATCACCCTGTTTGGGGAGAAAATAAGGAGTTACCTTTTCTAGTAATGCAGTGACTACTAGCGAAGTCAAGGGAAGTGCCCAAGGGAAGTGTGACCCCACAGCAAGTGCTTCAGTTCCACGCCTTCAGTTCACATGCACGACTCTGGGAAGTGTGAGCTGAGTGTGATGGGCAGGTGCTAGAGGCCGCCCTGCTCTTCCCACACCATGCCTGGGTCTGTAATGCTCTGCAAAAAACTCACCTGTATTTCTCTTGATTTAAAAAAAAAACATGAAAATAAGTGAACAATCACAGGTATTAATGTGATCATAAGGTACTAAAGGAGATAAAGAAGCCATGTAGAAAGAAAACATGTGCCTGTAATATCAATGGCATTGTCTTATAAAATGTGTCAATTCGTAGACTTCTCAGCTCATGCCTGCAGAAACTTCCAAGATTAAAAAATATTAACATACTTGGATCTATGATCTGTATTTTATGATCATGTGAACCTTTAATTTTTTTTTTTTTTTGGTTTTTCAAGACAGAGTTTCTCTGTGTAACAGTCCTAGCTGTCCTGGAACTAGCTCTGCAGACCAGACTGGCCTCAAACTCACAGAGATCCTCCTGCCTCTGCTTGCCAAGTGCTGAGATTAAAGGTATGTGCCACCACCGCCTTGCAGAACATCTAAATTTTTATGTATGGGACCTGGTGAGATAACTGAGTTGACACCTGTCACCCATTGTCACTTCAGGCCTCAAAAGGGCAGATGGCATCCATCACCAGATTTGATGTGTTGGTTTAATCCACATACGCAGGCCGCAGGGTGGAGGCAGAGAACTCCTCTATACCCACATAACTCTTTTTTAAAATTATTTTTTCTAAAAAAATGTTTGTAGCGTTTATTATTAAGAAAACTGGAGAGAAAATAGCTGATTGGAAGAAGAGGACTAGGGAATCTGTATATAGTCATTGCATATTGCTAGTAGAAAAAAATGCTTACAGAACACTGTCAATCTGATTTCGAAAGATTATACTTTCGATAATACTTTATATCGATTATATAAAGATCAATACTTTATATTGATTATATGTGTACATTATACATAAAAGTGAAAAGTTAAAATACATTCAAAATATCTAATGTTTATCCCTGTGTAAGGTTGCATGGAAGACTTTTTCTTCTTAAATTTGTTATCTTGTTTTTCATACTTCCTTCCATCATCACAAATGACTTGTGTAACATTTTTAAAAAATGCCAATAAATTAGACACCAGTACACAAACACATATATGGTCACAAACATAGGAGCAGCCCTAAGAAGGACTATGTGAAGTAACAAGGCTGTGTAACTTCCACCGGGAACACAAGTCCTACTAGGAGCTTATGATTCATTACAGAAAATGCTGGTAAGTTCCAGTAACAGCACCGGCAGCCTCCAGAGTTCTAACAGAAGTACACTGCACACCTGCATGCGGAACTTCACATTCTGTTTCCTTCCTACTCCTCTCCTTCCTCAGTTTCCCTACTCCACTTAGCGTTCCTGTGGACCAGTGTTTCTCAGCCTGGGCGGTCTTCTCCCTGGAAGGCATTTAGTGAAGCCTGGGGAGCGACAGCGGAGGCATGATGGTGCTGCTGCATCAGGACAGGGCCAGCAATGCCAGCAGTGTTCTGCAATATGCTAGGCAGCCAGACAGCACAAAATCTTACCTACCTCCACGTGTCAGTACCACTGTGGGTGAGAAATCCCTCAGCTGGCCAAAAGAATTTGGGTGGTCTTTGTAGTTGGCCTATGTGTCTCAGACAGGAGGGTGGTAAAACCCTTCCAAACTGGAATAGAAAGGCAGACTCATGTGCACAAAGACCAACTAGCAGGCACACTGCCCACATGACTTACACAAGTGTGGCGTCCTATTCCTAGTGGATGCATTGTTTCATGTACATCCTAACCATTTGCTGTCAGGAGAACCAAAGTTTTCTACAGGCTTCATTGTGTGGCTAAAGTGATGGAAGAGTTGTTATCAGACAGGCAGGAGCATCAACCACAGTGGTGATATACATACGCGCTCTCCTTTGGGGCCTCTGTCTCCAGGTTTACCCATGATGCCCTGGAAAACAGATGTCAACACTAAAAATCATTTCTTACCAAGAATTCCCATCAGTCTAACTGACCCAAATGGCTTTGAGATACATATACTTAAAAAGTAGAAATTTTAAGAATTCATACCATTTAATATTTTTTTCCCATACCTGAGCACCTGGTAATCCATCTTTTCCATTTATGCCCTAAAAAGATATAAAAGAAAATTGTCTATCTCATGTCTATGTACAGTCATAGTTAAACACACAAAAATATGTTACATATTACTTCATGTCTTGGTGAGTCTGAATAGTAAAATTGAATAGAGAATCAGTAAAGCCTTGTGGCCCCAAGTTCAAATTCTGATTGTCATTTACTGGCTCCATTGACCAGGCTCGGGGATTTAGTCTATCTGATTAACACCGGCATCTTCACATACACAGTGAAGAACGTAAGAATGAGTTTACAACCAAGAAGGAAGCACAGCAACGTGGAATTGTGTGTGGCGTCACCCAAAACGGCTTCCTCCGCCTCCTATGAAGAGTAATGGCAACCCAAAGCATTGAATGCATGAACTGTGAAGAGACTTTATACGTCTGTTGTGCAAGAGTTTTCTCTGAGATAAACCTTCCATCTTGGAGGGAAGTTTCTTAAGACTCAGGATAGTTTTAAGGAAGACGAAACACTCCGTCCTTCAGGGAAGCTACTTAAAATTCAGGGTAAACAACCTGAAAGCTTTAGGAAGTTCCTGAAACTGACCATATTCACTATGCTCCTCCTTTCCAAGGTTAGTAAGGACTTCTGAGAGATGCCCTTAGATTGGCTGAACTGCCCAGAAATGTGGAAGAATTTGGAGAATGCACTCTCAGCAGCCTGTAGGCTGTGCAGTGAGCTCCAGAGCTCCAGCTTCTGTGAGCACTATCCATGGTGATGCAGCTTTCTGGGCATCATTTGTGCTCCTGCCAGGAGCTCCCCACCTACACTCCTGTAAGTCATGCCAGCTAAACTCACACGTTCACAGGTTTCCTTTCTTCAGTCTGCTGTTGATTCCCTATCTGTCCCTACCAGTGGGTGTCTTCCTGGGATTGGTGTCTCCACAACAACCTTCTAGCAATTTTAAGCCCAGGTTCCCTCTCAGCAAACACTGTCACTTGGTTCTGAGGGAATTTTATAACATGGACAGAATGTGTTCCTCCTATAAAATAAACCATCAACTGGAGAAAAATTATTATTTTTTGATTTGAAAGAATAGTAAATGAGAGCTGGGAATCCATCATCGTAGCTTTTGAGACTATTAGGTAGTGACTTTTTTTTTTTATTAGAAAATGGGAACTTCTCAGACCTCTTAAAGGTATTCTGGAAGTGGTCATAAAGCCAGCCCTGACTGGAAATTTCTAAAACTGACAGAATTGCCTGTCAGATACAGAGGGAAGAAAAGGGCTTGGGGTCAAATCAAATACCTAGAATCCGACTGCAGACACGGCTTTGAGGTGTGATTTGAAGAGAGAGAGATGAAGGTGAGGGAGCGGCATTTCCTAGCCAGCGGGCATGGCCTAGACACGCTCTGGGAAAGCCTGAGAGACTTTGTTTGTGCGGGCACAGACTCCCCAAGGACACAGCTGCAGACAGTCACCTGTTTCAGGACTGCAAACCACGCTGACATCTGTTGTGGTTGGTAACCCAACCATAGGCTCAGGACTTCTCTGAAGCGCCCTGGGAATTCTGGAGAGCACTTTAACTAAGAATATGTTTCCTGAAATGTATAGTTCAAAGACTTTATTACCTGCCAGAACACTAGCAACACAGGTAAAGCTGATTAAAGAGAGAATGAGAAACAACTGTGACGCCTGAATAAAAGATAAATCAAACTGGAACTCATGCTTTGAACCTTTAAAATGTACGTAAGTTTCTCTTTTTAAAAATACCCATACACATATACAAAGAAACATAATCACATCTATCCCCATTTTCCCACCAACTCTCCATGAATCCCTCTCAGTATGACCCCTTCCCAACTTTATCTTCTCTTCTTTTGATAACAGACTGAATCCAAGTGGCACCCCTGCTATACTCATAAGCAAAGGGTGGCAGCACCCCAGTGGGAGCTCCCTCAGGCAGGAAGGAGTGCCTCCTGCAGCGGTTTTCAGCACCAACCATTGTTAGCATGGAACAGTTGCTCAAAAACGTTCAATGAAAACAATTGCCAAATGTATTATATACAGGGAACTCAACCACAAGCCTTTTATGGGCTGGCTCACAAGGGTTAGGGAGGAAAATTTGTTAAGGGGAGGTGACGGGAAGCTCAGAACACTATGCTGTTCACTGGTACTTCCTATAGCCAGCACTGCAGGTCCCTTCACACCACATGCCGCCCGATTGACTCATGGAACACCCTGGGTCATCGATCAAGCCCAGAATGCCTGATGCTGAACAGCATACACCTTTTGTCTTCTGCATTGCCACCTCTGAGGAGAGGAAGGCCAGAGAATTCATCAACTCTGAATGTCAGAGAAATATCGAACAAAGTCCTAAGATTCATGGTACTCATTTTCAGGACTTCCCTTCCATGCATGACAGAGCAAATGACCAAGACCTGTAAAGAAACTTTGATAGGCTGGACAGATGACTCAGAGATTAAGAGCACTTGTTGCTCTTCCAAAGGACTGGGTTTGATTCTTAGCACCCATCTGATGGCTCACAATCCTCTCTAACTATAGTTCCAGGGGATCTGATACCCTCTTCTAGCTTCCACATGTACCAGGTACACATATGGTACACACATATACATGTGGTGACACATACACATAAAATAAACTACATATTAAAAGATGAAAAAAATCTTTAAAACAAAACCCAGAGCTTCACATGCCTCTCTCTGGCCTCAGGACACTCTGGGCTCACAGTAGGGGCTAGATGTATAATCGCTGGGTGGGCATGACTGTCACAATGTCATGTCAATACACAAGCTTTTTAAGGGCTCTGGGCACAACACATTTGCAGTAATGGTTATTAATGACATTGTCAGGACAAGGCCTATAGTAGGTTTTCTTACTTAGTTTATCACACAGGCACTATGCCAGCAAGCTGTTGGCTTCTTCCTATTTTAGGATGTGACAGGACATTTAATTTGAACTCTAATGAAGTTACTAGACATAAGAAACAAAGAGTCCACTTTAGTGGCACTCACAAAAATCACATCGTTCCCCACCATTGTTTAAATGATAAAAAGATTCCAAATAGAGATTTAGGAAACTCCTGGAGAAATCTCCTGCCAGTACTCCAAATTCAATTTTTAGAACCTGTCTGCATTTCATTCTGAAGCTGCTTGCTGAGATCTTCGATTTCTGAGGAGGAAAGTGAAGAGACAATGGATAGAACATCTCTTAGAATAGCAGTGTCTGTGTCGTAAGTACTTACTGGCCTCCCCGAGGGTCCCTCTGGTCCAGGAAAACCTGTATCTCCAACAGGCCCTCTCTCACCCTAGAAGTGTGAGCCAAGAAAAAAGTTCATTGGTGAAAATTTCTTTAAAATAGCTCCTAGATACTACAGCAGCGTATCTGCTGCTAAATTGGTGGTAGCTCACCGGCTCCCCTGGGACTCCTGGAGGACCTTGGGCACCGGGCTTCCCCTGTAAGAAAACCAAATAAAAATGTTAGGAGCCAGGTTAGGACGCCATGCATTTCTGCCTCCACAATAGGTTACTGTCTGTCTGGACTAGTACATGTTCCAGGGCTCAGTGGACCCCAGAGGCTGTAAGGCATACACTACAGCGTCCTGAGCGGGAGGAGGATATTGTTGAACATGTACCCTCGTTATTGGATGTCCTTAAGTCTTTTTTCTCCTGGCAATTCTTTCTTACTCTAGGCCAGTGGTTCTCAACATTCCTAATGCTACGCCCTTTAATACAGTTCCTCATGTCGTGGTGACCCCCAGGCACATTATTTTTTATTTTGTTACCTAACTGTAATTTTGTTACTGTTATGAATTGTCATGTAAATCTCTGATATGTAGGATGTATTTTCATTGTTACAAATTGACCCAAGAGGGTCACGACCCATAGATTAAGAACTGCTCCTCTATGGTAGGAGATGGAGGTGGGAGTTTGGGGAGGGTGTGCTGGTTGGGTTTTGTTGTTGTTGTTGTTGTTGTTGCTTGTCAAGTTGATGCAAAGTCGGGTCATTAGGAAGAGGAAAACGTAATTGAGAAATTCCCCCATCAGACTGACCTGTGGACAAGTCTGTGGGACATTTTCTTGATTAATTATTGATGTGGGAGGGCCAGCTCACTGTGGGCAGTGCTACAACTGGGTTGGTGGTCCGGGGTTGTATGAGAAAGCAGGTTGAGCAAGCCATAAAGTGCAAGCCAGTAAGTAGTAGCCTTATGTGGTCTCGGTTTTAGTTCCTCCCTCCTGGTTCCTGCCCTGTTTGAGTTCCTGCCCTGATTTCCCTGAGGGATGGGCTGTGTTCAGGTCACATTAGCCAAATAAACTTCCTAAGTTGCTCTTGGTCATTTTTTTAAAAAAAATCACACTGATAGAAAACAAAGTAAGATAAAAGGCAGAGGTGAGAGGAATTTACGTCAGGTTATGAGTTTCGCAAGGGAGCGTCTGTGTTGGTAATAAAATAATATGAAAAAACATTTTATTTGAAAAGCTGTATTTGGGTAAAAGGTTGAGGAAAATATTTCAATGTGCTATGGTCCAAAGAACAAGAAGCAGGAAACCCTGGAGCAGAAAGACCACAGGAAGAGGTAGGGACGTGATGCCTCCACAGTTTAAATGTGAAATGTGTCCTACAGGCTCATGTATGTGAGCATGAGGTCCTCAGCTGCTGAGGTTTGGGAAAGTTATAAGCCTTTAGGACTATGGTTTTATAGCAGAAACAAGCTGACTGCTCAGAGGCAGGACTTGAGGCTCCTATCCACTTCTGTGTCCTGCTGGAGCTCTCTACTGTTTGGTCTACCAACACGTAGAAAATACATTTCAAGTTCTTTCTGCATCTGCTCAGCCTACCCCAGCAAAACCTGGCTGTCGTGGCTTTCTGGTTTGCCAGCAAGTATGGCTCTGACTCTTTCAGGAGGTCCGATTATGGAGTACTTGAATAGTGTTTGTAGGCCCAGGTGCTTGTATGGCCACTCGGGGAGTAGGAGGAAAGGAGCAGAGACCATGCCCATGGCTCAACACCCCTGCCCCACTGCCTGGGCAGGTGGTGGGATTGGGTCTGCTAGGCATGCACAGGCAGGAGAGCATAGAGGATTCACGCTGCCGTACACAGAGGTATTTCCAGGCTGTGCACTGTGCTGCATGGCAGATTTAGCTTTCACTTAGATAAAAAAGGGTTTACATGCTGCACAGTGCTACCCAGAGTTGAGGTGGTGAGGACAGCTCACACCCAGCAGTCCCAGAGCTGGTGATGAACTTCCTCTGCCATATTAAAAGCCTGAGAGAGGTGGAGCCAGTGTCAAGGGCCACTGCAACTGAGCTGCTTACCATTTCAAAAGCACTCCTGGTCAGAAAATTATTACAGATATGCAATAAAGACAGATCCAGATAAAAAGACCTCTAAATGGGTCACAGTGTTGGGTAAATGTATGCACACTTGAGAGAAGAAAAAAGATATAGAAAGTTATAAAAATAAGTAAATTGTTTAAAAAATAAAAATTAAACAAAGTCTTTAAAGACACAAAGTACAAACACCTAAAGATTAAAGGAGTAAAGAAAAATATGCCATGTAAAAATGAAAAGTACTATGATACTGGGACCTGTTTCCTCTGCATATACTGGATTTTGGGGATCCAGTCTGTTTGGACACTCACCTTCCTGGACCTGGAGGGAGGGGGAAGGAACTGGAACTTCCCACAGGGCAGGAAACCCTGACTGCTCTAAGGGACGAAGAGGGAGGAGGAGAGGGAGTGGGGGGAGTGGGAGGGTGTTGGGAAGAGGGGCGTAAATGGAAACTTTTATAATTTAATAAAATTTACTTAAAATAAATAAATAAATAAATGAAAAGTACGAAGAAAGTCTGAATTATGCATATTATTGTGTTTTCTTTGAATTTTTTGACTGTGAAGGAGCTAAGTACAGAAAGACATTATATTGTATAGGCTGTTAAGTTAAACCAACATATATATTTTAAAGGTATCTTAATTTCAAAATTTGGGTCTAAGGCTATGTTGCTTTGAAAAAGAGGTTCTGCTTTTGCTTTCTCAGAAGATGAGAACCTGTGGTTTCCTTGTAGACTAATGTGGTTTGATGGACCAAGACCCCTGTAAGGTCACTGTGAACATCCCTAAAAAATTGCTTTGTCCAACAAAAAGCAGGAAGCAGTTTGGAGATAACTATGTCCAAATTCCCTAAATATTGTTTATAAATGTTTGTTTACATTTAAAAGAGGATATGCTACCGAAGATGAATACTTTGCATTAGTATAGATCTTGGTCTATTGATACAAATTTAAATCCAATTTTGTTATATGTATATTTGCGCTCTTCATTAAGGTATTAAATTTGTGCAGCTCACTTAAAAAGTGTAATGTATAATTAAGAAATATAGGTTAATAGATAATCATCTATAATAGTCAAGCTTGTAGTCCTCATGTTAGCTAGGTTTTCTAGATATATAGAGATATAGTTCAGTAAGACAATCTTCAAACCTTTCAAAGACCTACAGAATATGGCATTTAAAATGTTTTAAGAACATAGGACTTTTCATGACAATGAGACACATCTGCTCCTGGCAGCATCAATCTACTTCAAGGGGAAAATGGACATCAAAGAGGCTCCTTATGGAGTTTGCTGGCCATTTAGGCAAGAAACTGTGCTTACCTGGACTGTCTGATGTTATACTGTTTGAAGTGGACAAGCAGAACCCACAGAAAAGTGCTAAAATTGCCTAAAGGTGAGAAAGTTCTTTAGGGTCCCTGCTTCATGAAAGAGTCTGCAAGACATTCTGCAGGAAACAGAAGAAAGTGACTGACAAACTGTCAATATAGGCAGAACAGTCTTTAAAATTTCCTGCTTTGTGGGAAAGTCTGCCAGATACTATGGGTCTCTAGACTGAAGATGGATGCTCTAACAATGCAGAACAACTTTGGGTGACTGTCTAGGAAGTGAAATGTCTCTGTCAATTCTAGAGTTTTGGAAGCTGCTTACAATGTACTTCCTGTTTTCTTAGGTAATATTATAACCTTCTGGAGTCTTTGATGGAGTTGAAGAACAGATAGTTATAGTTTTTCTTAGTTATGATAAATGATAAAGGAGATATAAATATTGTAACTGTAATTATTGTTTGATACCTATTTTGTTATATGTAATTTTACTATGTTAAAGTTAAAACCTTTTTTTATTTAGACAGAAAAGGGGAGATGATGTGGGAAGTCCTTCTGTATATGTGTTGCTTTTATTGGTTAAAAAATAAAACTGCTTTGGCTTGTGATAGGGCAGCGTAGAGCTGGGCAGCAAACTAAATCAAATGCTGGGAGGAAAAAGGCAGAGTCAATTAGATGCCATGTAGCCACCACAGGAGGCAGACATACCGGAACCTTGCTGGTAAATCACAAGCCTCATTGTAAAATATAAAATAATAGAAATGGGTTAATTTAAGAAGTAAGAGCTAGTTAGAAGTACACTTAAGCTATTGCTAAACAGTATTGCAATTAATATACTTTCAGTGTGTTTTTTTCAGATTTGGGCTCCTGGGAACAACCTCTGGCAACAGGTATCTAGAAATATTTCTTTGAAAACAGACAATTTATGGTAATAGTAGAAGGTATGTTAAAGTCACATGTAGGTGAATGTAATAGGAAAATGAGTTTCTTTGTGAGTATGAGAACGTGAGTGTAAGGGAACAGGTTGGGATGCCATTCTGAGTATGGTTCCAGAAAGAGAGCCCCCAACGCTAACGAGAAGGAGAGTCAGATGTGTGTGGAGGGTGTAAGATTAAGTGTGAAGTCCGTTTTCATAAACAATCTTCATTTTATATAAATTCTAGAGAAAGTATTTTTTATTTTTTTGCCTTGACAATTGTACACATTTTTAGTCTCAGTATGGACAAAACTAATAAAGAATGTCGTTCTCTGTAAGGCATCTACATGATGGGTAGCATTTCATTTTTTATTTGAGCTAGTTAAATATAATAATGAGGGGTTCATGGACCTTTTTAGGATGGCAGTAGATGGCAATGTATGGTGGTTGGGGGTCTTAGGTTGTATACAGTGATGCTAAGTGGTGTTAGTGAAGCAGCCGTGGGGTGGGGCTGACAGTCGGGCCCCTTCTTGTCTTCACTATTCAAGCACATGGCGTCCGTGGACTTTCTTGTAATACAATACTGGACTTTCCCTGCGGGGTCACCTGCCAAGAGGATAAATGGCCTCTTACTCATAAACCGTGACCACAAAATTTTAATGAGGGCATCATGAATGAAGATCAGAATTGTCCCAAGGGCTCGTTGAAATGATTTCAACCTTTCTGGGAGCACTTCTTATTCATTTGCAGAGACCTTGATGAAATTAAAGCATTTGACACCAGAGAGCAACAAAAAATGACTGAGAGGTTTGAAGCCTGGTTTACGAGAAAACATTAGCAGCAATAAAGCTCTGCTAATAACCCTGGGTGAAGTGAGCACCCAGGCAGACTACAGTTTAATGTGGGAGCCCGACGCACGTGTCCCAAGATGAGAACGTGGCCTCGGGGAGATAGAGAACTGCTGAAATATGACAGGGACAGAGGTATAAAAAGTGAGTTTTCAAAGCTGTGCACACACACTAATGCACAGCCATATGTAAAATGATTTCCTCTCTTTCCATGAAAGAGACTTGGGAAGGAACAAAAGGCAAAAAAGAGAGGGATGGTCAAAATGAAGAACAGACATGCTAGAATCAAGAGCAGCGAGACAGGCTCTGGATATCAACCACCATATAGTCAAAAACCCTTGATCACTAGCTATAGACTGAGATAGAAATGCATACCTGAAAAGCTAACATGATATAAGCCAAACTCACCGACATGCCGGCTATTCCTGGGGGACCTGCTGGGCCTCGATCTCCCTGTTGAGGTTAAAATAGAAATGGTTATTTATAATGATAGCTATATACTCTTTACTCTTATAATCATTGCTCAAATAGTAATTTGACATGCCATTGTGGATGGAGAAAATCTCACAAGGCTCTACACCTAGATGAAAAGTGCAGAGTGAGGGAGAGAGGGAAGAAGGGAGGGAGGGAGAGAGAGAGAGAGAGAGAGAGAGAGAGAGAGAGACAGAGAGAGAGACAGAGAGAGAGAGACAGATTTTCAGTCTTCAAGGATGAGCCTCCTGATTGATTATCCAACTAGAAATGGGCAGCCCTAAACACACACACACACACACACACACACACACGATACTAAATGGCCTCAAAAGGCTACATTTATAACAAATTGTTTACATATGTGAGTAATAATGAAGAGAAGGCCATGAATTTGAGGGTGGGCAAAGAAGTTGGAGGTAGAGAGGAAGGGATAGAAATGCTGTGAATATGTTGTGAATACAATACTTGTGTTTATAATGAAAAGAAATTGGATTTGTAAAGCCTTTGTTGAATATAATAAGTGCTATTGTTATTAACTTGTATGAAGAAAACTAGAAAAGCAGAAAAAATGTATACACAATTCAACCTATTATATTTTCATCCTCTAAAGAACTAAGTAATTCATAGTTCTAATAAAAACCATTACTTATGATATTACTTTGGCTTATTTCAAGAGGAAGCCATGCATTCTAACAGTTAAAGTTAGTCAATATTTAAAATTCTACACATAATAAAAATTACTACTATGACCTGAAAGATTAATCACAATGAATGTCTCCTGAGAACCTCTTCTTCACCTACTCCTGTTGGATGCAGGGTTAGAATAAGAAAGACTGAGAACTAAAGATTTTTATTTCTCCTCCAATGACCAGTCAGAAGATCCAGGTAATTGCTCTGAAAACCAGAATAATTCAGGTGCCTTCAAGAGGCAGTGTGCTTCAGATACAGTTCGCACTGCTGTCCGTGCTGGGGAATGACATGTGGGAGAGCAAAATGGCAATTTTATTGAGCAGAACCCATAATTTTAAAAAAAAACTCACAATTTTGCTTAGGGATGTAAAAGAAGACTTGATGAAATAAGGAGATATGGAGCGTAAGACAATGCCATAATTTATAAACTTAAGGTGACTAAACGGGTATAATATACCTTGTAGGTTAATGGGAAACCCAAATAGGAAAGCTATACCTTGTAGTTAAGAATTCTGTTTGCAGTTTTCTTCTTTGTTCTGTGCAAGTTAGAGCTTCTATTTGTAATTAAAAAGTCTCTGTCCTGTATAGGTTACAGTTTTTGTTTGTAGTTCAAGAATAAGCTCCTGTTTGCCCTGTAGTAAGTTCTTGCAAGTTAAGGTTTTTATTTGTAACCAGGAATAAGCTTCTGTTTCTTAGATCTGATTTAAACTGCTTGCAACTCCACTTACATGATGTCTATCCTTGCCCTTGATGATTTCTTATCATTATATCCTTTTAACAATGTATAACAGCCAGCTCTCTCACTTCTGGTAACACTTTATCTCTCCTATAAAAGGGACTTCAAGCAGCAGGGGATGCTTTCTCAAATCCTGACTTAGGAGGAGACAGCCTACTTGGTCAGTGTCCAAAATACAGTTTGCTTTAATTGAACACTTGTGGATTTGGTCTTTTCTCCTCTAGATCCTCAGGCCTAACAATTCCTCCATAATTTCTTCAATTTCCGCCTCTAGGTTCCTGCTTGAGTTCCTGCGCTGACCGCTTGATGATGGAGCGTGAAGTGGAAGTGTAGCCAAGTAAACCCTTTCATTCCTCCAAGCTGCGTTTGCTGAGAATATTTTATCGCAGCAACAGAAAGCGAGCTAGACTATTAGATAATGCCGGGGCTTACCTCGGTCTCTTCCATCCTCTGGCCAGCACCGTTCCTCCAGTGGTCACAATGAGCAGCACTGTTTGATATACCGGGGTCACCTTTCTACCCTACCCCCACTTCTCAGACCTCATATCTAAGACTTCTGCATTCTCACATTTGATGCAGGACAATTGTCTGTATTCTGTCAATCATATTTTAAATAAATGCTGATTGGCCAGGCAGGAAGTAGAGGTGGGAAAACCAAACTGGAAGTAGAGGTGATGCAATGAGAACAGAAGTATTCTGGGAAGCAGGAAGCTCCCTCCACACTCCTGCACAGGCCACTGAAGAGGCAGGATGTAACCTGCCCAGCTGAGAAAGGTACTGAGCCGTGTGGCTAACGTAGATAAGGATAATGGGGTAGCATAAGTTATAAGAGCTAATAAGTAGCCTGACCTAATGGGCCAATCAGTTTATAACCTAATGTAGACTCTGTGATTTCTTTGGGACTTGCTGGTTGTGGGGTACCGGGCGGGACAGAAACCCCAACAAGCCGGCCCTTCATGCTACACACATTGACCTTCCCATTATCGCTGGAGCTGGTGGCTTGTCTCCGGGTCCTTACATCTGTGGTTTCTGCTTCATGAATTGTTCTTTCTTCAGACTTATGAGGACATGGCTAACTCACCTTCCTTAAGTCACTGTTCAGTTCTTGCTTTCTGGGATATCATATGATTGATGGAGGACCCTCCACCCCCACCCAGCACGTGTGATACCTTTTAACCTGTTCTACTTTTAATTTCTTTCTGTAGTATTTTCTGATAACTTTGTTTTTATTGTGCATTTCCTGTTAGTTTCTGTATCCCTCCCTGGAAAACAAGCCCTGTAAGTATAAAGCTTCGCTTGTTTCGTTCTCCTATACTTAATAAATATAAAACAGTTACTGGCATAATAGCAGGTGAACATACATTTTTTAATATTGAACCAACACTGCCTCTGTGCTTACCTTTACACCAGGAAATCCTTCGAGTCCTGGCAAGCCCATTGCACCAGGCTCTCCCTGTAAATGGGAAAACAGAACATGCAGGAGCAATGGCCAAAGGTTTATAAGCAATGATTTAAAGTCAAGGTCTTTTTATTGCTCATATCCATCAACTCTGATTTCCAACCTGGCTAGTGAATGGCATCCTTTATCTTCAGGCATTAGGTATATGAAAACAGCTTGGGAATTACAGCTATTCTCCAGGCATACGTCTGCTTTCTGATTAATTATTTTTATTCTGATTAAGAATCTAATCAGGATGAATCCCTGTAGTATATTAATAACTCCAATTTCAGTAAGAATTAGAATGAGAGGCAGATTTTAATAAAGTTTGCCAATTTGTGGGACACATGGGGCTGCTAGCTTACAATCTAATAAGATTGGACTGTTTAAGAGTGAGTGGAACTGGGGCTCTCAGAACAGACTGCGGCATCCTTGGCACGGATTGTAAACGCTTAGGAAGATAACCCCAGGAGTGGTACCGTTAATAATTTAAGTCAGTGCTCAAGCTGGCAGATACTGAAAGGGGGATAGACCAGCACTTTATATGTTCTATCGCATGGTCCCAGTCTGTGGGTCTTTAAGTAGCATTTGGAAAAATCTCTTGAAAAATGCTGATGGTTTGAACAAAAAAACCCATTTTGACCAAGAATGATGTAGAGTGGGCTCAGAGTGAGGCTCGACAGTTGGCTGCTTTTGCAAAAGACGGGAGTTCAGTTCCCAGCATCCACATGGCGGCTCACAACCACCTGTAACTCCAGTTCCAGGGGATATGATGCCCTCTTCTGGTCTCTTGTGGGTACAGCAGGCATGTGATACTTGTTCATATCAGGCAAACCAAGCACAGAAACATAAACAAATCTCTAGAAACATAGAGAAATAAGTAAAATGGAGTTATTTGATAATTTCCTGTGAATTAATTACTTTTAGCTAAAAATATTTTCTTAGGACACTAGATGCTTTAAGGATCACAACCCTGGCTGGTGTGGTGGTACATGCCTTTAATCTAAGCACCTGAGAGGCAGAGGTCGCATCACTGTGAGTTGCAGGCTAGCCTGGTCTACAAGTGAGACCTTGTCTCCAAATAAACAAAAAAACAAACTAGAAAAGCGAGCTTTCAAACTGCACTCTCTGTAGATACATGTTTTGCATAAAAATACAGTTCTGCTAGAAAATATTTCTAAAGCTTAACAACCATTACTGTTTATCCCTGTATTATATAACCTAATAAATGCATGCACAACTTAATATGTTTTATGTTTCAAAACATTTTTTTAGTGCTCACTAATAAATAACCTGTCAGTCACAAGAATAAAAAATAAAAAGGCATTCAGACTCTAGTCTGTGTAAGGCTGTGTGAAGAGGCCCTGAGTTATCAATGCAGGGAGTATATCCTGGTATCATGACATCTCTTCGTCTACACTTCCAGCAGTCTTTCCTTACAACAGAGGAAGTAATCAATTAATTAATCAGCATTTGTTTGGGAGCAGATAATAATTAAATATTTAATTGAAATCACGTTGATATTGAATAACTAAAAAGGAAGTGTTCTGCATCAGGAAATCATTCACTTATTAGTATATCCAGCTGAAGGTAATTTTTTCTCAACAGAGGTTTATTCCGAAGAATATTATTGCCATGTGCTGTATTTTGAATCTTAACTCTCTTCCCAAAGTACATGAGTTTGAGGGCCGATCTGCACATCCTTGCATACAGACGCAGGGCTCATGGGGACTCTGACCTCATCAATTAACCCATTAGAGATTTATAGCTTAGCAGGTTTTAGGAATGGAGCATGGTTGTAAATAAAAACTGTGTTTCGTTTCCTGCCACCACGAGGCTAGCAGCTTAGCCCCACTAAGTGTTCCCTGGTCCTTTGACTCCCCACAGGCCCAGCAGAGCAGCTGACAATGGACTGAAACCTTTGAAACCGTCAATCAAAACTAGTATTGCCTCCTTCTAAGTTGTTTATCTCCAGTATTTTGTCAGAGTGACACACAGCTGACTGAGCATGTCATGAAATGTGAAGGATACCCAGAGAGTGCATTTCCTCCGCCCACCCGTGTTGGCGTTTCAGACATGCGCTCTGGAGGGTACAGTCCTTCCACTCCTGGTTTATTCCTGTACTGTGGGGTGCTGTTTCTCTATACCCAGCACACGGTGGGAGATGATGACAATAGCAAGAGGCTGTGTTCATGTTGTATGAATGTTCACACAATGTTTAATTCCATGACTCCGTATTTCCCGTTCATATTCTAAGCACAGAGACTAACCTTCAATTACTTTTTATTCTTTGCCCTGCTGAAGTTTAGAAACACGGGGCCTAATTTTTTTTAAAATTTTACTCAAAAGGTCTTAGTTTTTGACCAGCTACTTTCCAGCGCTAATGAATTGTAATTTATTCTCCAGTATAATATATTTTTTAAAATGTTCTCACCTTAACCTGCAATTATTAACGTGAGAATGTGAAAGAATGTTCCAGAAATGTCAGTGAGAAGTCTGAATTTATCTGTATAACTCAGAGGGGTGCTGTTCTATAAGACTGTAAGAAAGTAAGACTAGGGGAATTTTTATCAATACCATGAAAAAATAGAAACAAAATTGAACACTATATTTCCAGATGAACATATAGAATAGTATTTTCAAAGATACAAAGAAAGAGTAACCAATCACAAAAGAAAACCATCTATATAACATATTTGGGATTCAGAATACAGTACTTAGGACTTGAAGTAATTATTTTAGAGTAAATCAAATAGACATCTAATGTGTATATCATTCAGTAACAAAGATAACTTCTTTGGTAAATCTCTTTTTGAAAATATATTTATATATTAAAAGCTATTTTCTACGGTTTGTCTCTTTTCTGGTTTAACATTTATTCAGACAGTTTCACCAACTTCAACTATAATAAAAAAAAAAAAGATTTTTTTTTCCAGAGCACCAGAAAGTGGTTTGAAAGCCTGTTTCAGTGTTAGGTACATTTAAGTTCCAATTCTCTCCTCAAAGGCTAAGAGGCTATACAAATAGAACATGAAGGATGGAATATTTGCTTGGAAAGGACATGGCAGGGAAAAAATGCCAAAGGTTAAAGGGAATCTAATTGAATTTGGCAGAACTTTTGTCACGAGGCTCCACGGCTGAGAGAGATGCTGAGAACAATTATCACCCTTTGGGCAGCTTGAGGACACGATCTCCTTCTCGGCGGACTGTTAACCTCCAGATATATTCCACTCAATAAGCAGGTTTATGACAGTCTGCACTCCCTGCAGAATAATTGCCCAGGACATGCAAAGTAAATAAACAGTCCTTGCCCCTTTTCTTGCTGGCGAGATGTCAGACATATTAAGGAATTTCTCTCCCTTAAGTATTTCTCTTCCACGAGCTACTTAAAACTGAATCAATCATCAAAAGAAGGCCATTAGAGGGAAGCGTTCCATTTGTCAAGAGCCTTATATGTGCCTTCCTACATCAGAGGGTGATTTTTAAAACCTGCTGATGGAAAGAGTCGCACCTCAAGGGCAGGGACAGCATCCGCACTAATGCATCCTGAAAACAAAGGACGTGTTTGCAGGCATATCTCTACTTGCTTGTCTCTGACACCTTAACTGAGACACAGCTAAGAAGGCAGGCCACCTTTGCTTGGTATCCTTTGCAGGATTAACCAAGACTACCGCACAGAGGTAAGAGTATACATACCACTGGGCCGGGATCACCTTTTGGACCCTAGAAGAAAAGCATACAAAGATGTCTTAATTGTTATGAAAACACAGTTACAGAATCTGAGGCATTTTTTTTTTCTTCAAATGCCCATTAACAAATGTAAGGATGGTACATATTTTGCTTTTGCTGAAGTTTGGATATGAAGAATAAAATTAAGAAATGTGACTTGGGGTCTAGAGGAATTGCGGTTCAGTAGTTAAGAGTGCATAATTCTCTTCCAGAGTACCTAAGTTCAGGGCTCAGCACCCATGATGGGTGGCTTTAGCTCCAGGAAATCAAGCATCCTCTTCTAGCTTCTATAGGCATTGAGTGTATATCCCATGCATATACTTACATACATACCAATCAAAATAAAAAAAAACTCTAAAGAAGCAATATGTAGCTATTTCTGTGAACATGAATGGACGTTGACTCAGAACTTAGCTTGGCAATGAAAAATGGCACTATGCTAAATATTTTCCATTAGAAAAGTTTCATGAAAATTTTCTTTTATTCAAATTGGTTTCACTTATTATTTACTCCGTCTGTAAAATTTGGTTACATTTGTGACGTTCAGTTTTCAGTGAACTTGAGAGATTCCCCCCACAATCATCACTGTAGTCTAGCTAAAGCAACTTCAAGATATTCATCTGTACTTACAGGGGGTCCCGGGGGTCCTGGGTAACTAGGAACATTCATTCCTCCCTTCAAAGGAAGAAAAAAACAGATGAGAAGAAAATACAGAGCCCGACAAGGGGAAAATGATCACAGCTAACTAGACATGGAGATACCTGGATTTTGTACAAACTGCTCATGCCGTTTCCTTCATTGAGCGGGACACCCTTAGGGAAGAAAGAAGATGCAGAAGTAAGCGTTTGAACCTCAGTCATTTTACTAAATGGCATTCTTCTGATATTAATTTTTACTTAAGTTTTTCTGTTCTATACTTAAAGCGGATTTAATATAATAAACAAGCTATCATTGTGCCTCAATGTCTCAAAACGGGAAAGCAGGGAAAAGGAGCCTGTGCTACGCCTGGAGCACCTGGATGTTTCCCATCAGGGTTTGAATAGTGTTCAAGTCTGCAGACGAGGCACTAATGTATTCAGAGGGAAAATATTATTTGCTCATTAAAATTCAGTTTCCGAGTTGCCAATTTGCCGTGTTTACAGCCTGCTGACCTGCAGGCAGCCGAGCAGCAGGACTGATGAAGATGTGATCAGGGAACAATCTGGTACTGCAAAGTGAGGCTTTCCTAGAGTATCTTCAAACCGAGCAGAAAACTGAGGTGAATTGGAGGACAGCTTCACTCACCATCTCGTGTGGGTACTTCTACAAAAACATCCCTAGTACCTGGGGAAAGAGCACTTGCTCCTTCCCCGCAAAAAACCATATATGAATATGGAGTAAAAAAAGAGAACCCATAGTGCAGTTTGAAAATTTCCATCCATGTTAGCATTTGGGGAAAACGCACATGAAACATTCAGTTTGGAAGCACCTAGAAAGGACATCAGAGTCTTACATTAAATACCCAAGTGTGTGCTTTCATTTTTTTGGTATTTTTTTTAATATCTCAGAAGCAAAAACGAAGAAGCCATCGTTTCATTGCCGCTTGGGGATAATGGTGGTGGGCCCAGCGTGCACAGTTCTCACGCATCTGCGAAACAGCAAGGAGGGAAGAAAAAGCTCTGCCTGTTTCGTCTGCTGCTCCCGTTCATTGGGGAATAACTGAGCAGGGGCTATATTTTAGTATGCTATGCCCGGAGGAGACATAAGAGACTTAGGAGACTTCTAAGAAAGTTTCCCAGAGAAGATGCACCATCTGTCTCAGAAATGAATTATTTTTGAAGAATCCAGAGACAAGAGGAAGATTTATTAAGCCTGATATAAAAACACAGGTTTCTTGATATAATTTTCTTTCTTTCTTTTTCCCATTGAGAAGAGGAGCGTATTTTAGAATAGAACACCAGGAATTTTCTGTCTTGCTCCTTTGTTAAGAAAGAATCAGATAAAGAACATGTTCAAGAAAAGAGAGAGTCGAGCAGCTAGCTTGTGTGCAAAGCGTGCAACTGTGCACAGGCTCATAACATCTGCCTTAGGTTTCAGAAGGCTGCCAAGAGACACTACCTCTCTCTCCTAAATTTGCAGTGCGGGGGAAATAAGGGCTGTGGACCTCAGGCTTGCTGCAATTCGGCCAAGGCCCCACACGAGGGCAGACTTGCCACAGAGTGGCCGCTCTTCTCGCCACAGCTTCCCTGGAAGAGTGTGAGTCTGTGTAGACCATCAGGGCAAATGTCCAGGGCTCTCAATGCATTTTTCTCACTGCACGCCATAGCAGAAGAATTTCCTCATGTCTCAGACATCACTCACCGGTGAACATACACAGCATCTTTGAAAGTCCAAATTGCATGCTAAAGAAAGGACGTCCTTTTAAAGGCCTTTTATTTTCTGAGATGGTATAGGTTAGTCAAATGATTCTCTGTCCTTTTTAGGAAGTCTAGAGGCAGGCCAGTGTACAGCCATGCATCCTGACTACACACACACACACACACACACACACACACACACACACAGGAAACTCAGAGGACACAGTTTTTCAAGCATCTAAGCAATCTGCCTTATGAGTCTGAAGTGCCCAGAATTAAAGTTTAAATCTTAAACAACTCACAGGAGGTCCAGGAGGTCCAGGTTTCCCAGGGGGTCCCTCGCTGCCCTGCAGGAGATACAAAGGACCAAATGAATGGCTTGGACATTTCCACTTGAGATTTGTGATCCAGGTTGTTTGAAGAGCTGCCTTTTAAAATTCCCATGACCTATAATATTGCCTCTGCCTTGCAGTCTTATTCTGCTTACCTTGCTCCTTGGTCCGGTGAAATACATTTCCCCACTCCAGGAATGTGAATGCCTCTCTCCAAGCTGTGTGAACTCTAGGGAAGGACCCTTAGCTTCACTGGGGGTAGACAAGCTAGGTGACCTGGTCTAGGCTTTGAGTACAGTGGGGGATTCTCTCCTTCTATGTATACATGGGGAAGAAAGGGAGAGTTCATGCACAGATTGCAGGTTCTGAGACTTTGCCTCCACTAGCCTTCACTCTTGGCTTCACCTCCACCAACTTCAGCTTTGTGGAACCAGAGAGAGCAGTCTAGTAAATTTAGCCGAAGTATCAAATCACTCCTGTTGGCTAATATTTAACTACAATCAGGTGAGTCATGTCTTACCGAGTGGAAGTGACTTTGGTATGACAGCACTTAAGAGAAATGGTCTGTTAATTTAATTTGTTGATACAATTTAAATAGCCTTAGGTTTCTGCTTATAGGAGACACAAGTTGAAAATGAAGGGGCACTGCAATAATCACTTACTATAAAACAATAACTATTCTGGGATTTGAACTGGGACTTGGAAAATGACTTTTACAAAGCACAGACTCCTTACCAGCTCACAGCCAACAATTGTTGGAGCCCCTTGGGATTTTTGCCAGTTGTTCCTATAACTGCGCATTGTTTGTGGAATGGTACCTTTATAAACTTTTCTATGTTGTGTTTATCAGGGACAGAGATAACACACGGTTAATTGACAAGAGTATCCAGAGGGACTAACACACAATGTCCAGGAATTTTGAGGGATGCTAGTCCTCTTCCAGAATTTGGCAGACGATTTTATTTCAACACTCATCTGTCTTCTCATAACAAAGGAAAACATCACAAGCCATACATTTATCAATTTAAATAAAGCTGTGAAGTTTCTCATGCAATGAACGGCCTGAGAGTGTATCCACTGAATAAGCACGCTGTATCGTCCCCAAACCACTTCGATGGCCACTGCATCTCTAAGACATCCTCCATCCTGCTGACTGCTGGCAATGTCCTTTAAAGCATTACATCATAGTGCTCATGAGTCAACAGCGTGTGCCTAGTGAGAATACGTCTTTTCTTTCTTCCTGGCACAATTAGAAGTCATATTCTCATTGGTGCCCTCGAGCTCATTTCAGTGTGGAATTCCCATTAACTTCAAAGGCCAATCTAGGACAGAAGAATTTTCATAGAAAATAGAGAGAGAGAGAAAAAGGCTGGTGCAGCAGAGAAGGATTCTTGAGATATTAGCAGGATAAAAATGTGCTGTGGCTCTTCAGAACAAGTAAGTTGTTTCATTTAAGTGTCCTGGGGATATTTTGCTCCTCGACGCCACCATGATCCGTTTAGCTCAGGGAGCTGGCATCCTGGCAAGTGTGCAGGAGACACTTAGCTAGCTTATGTGGCCCCTTGGCTCTTAGTTCCTTATCCTGAATAATTTTAGCTGTTTCACCATTTGTGAGTCTATGCCTGGGCTGTCACTGTAATGCCACTTTTGACCCTACACCCGGACAGCCTGGTGCTCTTGCGTTGTTGGTCTTCCCTCCCTAACACAGCCCGCACGGCCAGCTGTGAGCTGTGGTGGTTCATCTTCACTGCCCAGCTGATGAGATTTAGAATCACCATGGAAACGCACCTCCGGGTGTGTCTGTGAGGACATTTCCAGAAATGTCTAGCAGAGCAGGGGAAGACCCACACTGGATGTGGACATCATTATCACGTGGGCTGGAGTCCCAACCGAACAAGAGTACGGCAGCAGCATTCACCTTTCTCTGCTTCTGCCTGAAGAGGCAGGGTGACCCCCCGGATCTCCTCCTACCATGACCTCACTGCCGTGATGAATGCTATGAACTGTAGGCCAGAACAAACCCTTCCTGCATGTGATGTTGTCTCAGATATTTTGAAATAGCAGCTAGAGTAACCAATACATTCTTTTCCCCAAGGAACAAGTTTTCAGTGACTTCCCACTACTGCCTTCCAGGGCCAGCATTTCCAGACTGTATCACAAGACCTTTGGTTACTGATCAATGTTTTTATAGTCGGTACGGCATCTGGAGCCAGAGAGCTTGTTCAGAATCTTTGGGCACTCCTCCCCCTAACTTACAGCATGAATCCAATCCACAGGGTGATGAATGAGATGGACCCTTTGGGAGACAGTTAGGTCACGGGGTGGAACTTTCATGAATGGGATCAGTGCCCTTATAAAGAAGCCCAAGAGAGCTGAGTTACAATTGAACTACACAAGGACTCATTTAGGGCATGCCCTCTGTGAACAAGAAGATGGGCCCCAGCGGCTGCCAAAGCTACCAGGGCTTTGAAGCTTTGATTGGGGACTTTCCAGCTTCTGAGGCTGCAAGAGGTGCCGTTTAGAAACTATTGATAATATTTTGGTTATAAAAGCCCAAGAGATTAACAGGAACAGCTGGAACTCTCTGGTATGCTACAATCAATCCAGCTTACCCATATCTCTTTAGGAGACTGGGACCAGTCACCCTTCCACATGGACGCATGGCCTAGTCTCGGACTCCAGTTTCTGGATTTTCTTTTTTGTTGATTTTTTTTTTGATTTTTATTGAGCTCTACAATTTTCTCTGCTCCCCTCCCTACCTCTCCCCTTCAACCCTACCCCAAAGTCTCCATGTTCCCAATTTACTTTGGATTTTCTAAATCCCACCCCAGTGTTCTCTCTCGTCTTGTTTTCCTCTGTGAACACACCTGTGCTCACACCTACTTTTAGACCAGCATCTTTGCAAGCACACTCCATGAGTAGCCACTTCCTGACACCATTTGCTCTTGTAGGCTGTTCTTGGTTGCATGGATCTCTCAGTAAATGGTTCCACCTTTCCCATAACCCAAGCTCCATTGTCCTCTGTACCTTGTCACCTTTGGCTCCAGTGGGACCGGGGTGTCCAGTTCTTCCTGTTAAACCCTGTGAAATGGACAGCTGAGTTTGTCATAGAGCCGACAAGTCAATGATCAAAAGATGTTGGAAGTTGGTTGCTAAAACTTACCCATGTTGAAGGTCATTTAATCTTAATTAAACCAGTTCTACAAGTTTATATTTCTTCAAGCTGATACAGCACCTGTATTCTCCTGATAACTCTTTGGAAGGGTAAAATTTCTGTCTGTGGGTTTTTTCACCTTGGCCAAACACATTTAATGACCTTAATTGGAACCTTTTTGATACACTTAAGAATTTAGTCTTGCTGTTTAAATGGCAATTTACATAACATTATGTCTTTCTAAATGAGGTATAATTTTGGTAGCGATCAACATTTTAAATACTCTAAGACTGGGCAGAATTAACAATGGGCATATTGAGTTATGTGATCTGCATTGTAAAAAACTTGTGTTGCATCTGAATCTCTTGTCCAAGGTTAGAACCAAAATTTAAAAGTAAGGAGATGATGCACTTGTGTATCCAGCTTTTATTTCCAGTGGAGTGGGAGGATGCTCTTTGGCTTGGCAAAACTTTTGACAGGAGGTCTCCAGGTCACTAAGTGGGCTTAACTGATCTTAGAAAAAAATGGAGGTGCTGAAGGAGGCTGCAATGGCTGATCTACAGAGAGACACGGAGCTTGAGAGGCCCCAGGAATACTAATGTACCTTGTAGCATTCCTACAGGTATGACCTGTGAGGAGAATAGTTGTATCAAATACTTACAGGAGGTCCAGTTGGGCCAGGAGCTCCTGAGAGGCCAGGAATTCCTTGAAGACCCTGGAAGAAACAGTTTCTATCATAAAGTTTATTCTAGGAAACAAATCATTTTTGCAATTCAAACATTTTTATTATTGAAAATTAATCATAGACTTTAATTGAGAAACTTGATATGCATAACCTATAAATAACTACTTAAATGAAAAATTATCTGTATGGGTGTTTGCCTACATGTATATCTGGGTACCATGTGTGTGCCTGTTGTCTGCAGAGGCCAGAAGACCACATTATAAAACTGTAGTTACACATAGTTGTCAGTCACGACTTTGGGGTTGAGAATCGAACCTGGGTTTCTGGAGAGCAGAAAGTGCTCTGAGACATCTAAAAGAACATGGAGACATCTCTCCGGTCTCTAAATACCAGCTTCAAAGAGTACGGGTGGTAAGCTAAAATGCCATGGCATGGAATCTGTAACAAAGGTAACTGAATCTGTTGGTGATCCATAGAACATTTCTGACGTTCTATACCCACCAACCAGCGGTAGTATTACTGAGAATTATGTATTACTAAAGCATGCAAATACAGGCTTTGGGCTGGTATAATACCAGTAGGAAAACACTTGCTTGTACCAAATCTTCATCCAGCTACTGGCAAAATAGAAAATGCTTTATAATATACTTAGTTTATCTGTTTAGTTCATTATAAGAAAAAAAAACTCACCTGTGAGTTTACCTGAAAAAATATGGCTTAAGCATCAAAGTGAAGGTCTTTTCCCACCCCCTTCCATGGATTGCCAGGAGAATAATTAAATGGGTATGACTTGGAAAGCTGGAACAATTATTTATACTTGGGAAGAAATTTGTAAGGTAATTTCGTTTCTTTATCATGTGTTCCACTACAGGATATTAGTTGACTACATCCCGTAAAACCCAAAACATGGAAAGTTTCACAATTACTAAATTACTGCCTAGAAAAACCATTGGATGGCATGGAAAATGGAGGTCAGAAATGTTATATAGCAGAGGCTAAATTTTTAAAGATTTAAAAATATTTAAAAAGCAATGCATCCATTATGAGTGGTGTGACGAGATCACACTGGTGTCTGCAGAAGCATTTCTAACAGCACATAAACATGTGAATACTTCTATAGCAGAGTGTGATGTTCTGGTAGAACGAGAAGACAGACCAGACCTGTGTGAGTTTGTGTCAGACTTTGCTGTCAGTTGAATTCACTGCCAACCAGAGTGAGTTTTCCAGGATTTTCAGAGGTTTCAGGGGTTTGGGTTGTGGGCCATCCACAATACTCCAATTACCATTTCAGTGTGTTGTGGGAACAGACAGAAGGCTTAGGCTTCTACTGTTTTGTGTTTTTGCCAATTTTTCTGTAAGAGGTTTAGATCACTTTTTAATCAGAGAAGATAAATTAGTCGCCCTTTTGTTGTTTCAGATCAACATGAAATGCGTCAAGTTCTAGATTGAAGGGCTGGGTTGTAGCTTAGTGGTCCAGCACTTGCCTATCAGTAATAAAACTCAGGCTTTCATCCCCGGCAGTGTAAATACCAACCAACCAACCATCCAACCAAACCAAAACCAGATTCAACTTATGGATCAAATGGTCCCATTCTTTCAAGATTTAATCCCGTTTATCGAATAAAATATTCTTTTTCCACTGCCTTAATATTATTTGTTATAATAGGACTCCTCCATCTCCTCTTCTTAAATGATGATTTTTATTCTTGTTATAGAGACCAGGTGACTCGGCTGTGGGAGACTGATTACATCTTTTATAAAGCATCAGCAAGACTGAGCTGGATCGAGGTTCTTTGCACCCATAGGGAGAACAAGCTCAGTTCTTCCAATTCTACATAGGATCACAGTTATTTCAGCTTTATTCATGAGGTGTCGTGGTGGTTTGAATGAGGATGGCTTCTATGGGCTTGCATGTTTGAATATTTGGTCCCTAGTAGGGGGGTGGTGGAACTGTTTGGGAAGGATTAGGAGGGTTGGCCTGTTTGAGATGGATTAGGAGGAGGTAAGTCACTGGGGGTGGGCTTTAAGGTACCCAAAGTCCATTCCAGGCTGGGTTTCCCTCTCTCTCTGCCTTTTGTGGATATCAGGTAAGCTCTCAGCTACTGCCCCAGCACGATGCCTGCCTGCCTTCTGCTATGCTCTCCACCCTGATGATTGTGAACTAACTCTTTGAAAGGGCAAGCAAGGCAAGCCCTCAATTATATTATTTTCTAAATAACCTTGGTCGTGGTGTCTCTTCACAGCAGAGCAATAGTAACTCAGACAGAAATGATGTGCAGGAATACTGAAAGACTCTCCTTGAATGTGGAGGAATGGCTCATGTAATAAGTCTTGGGGAAAATCTCCTGCATATTTGTGTTAAAGAACATAGTCATTCTTCCTTCAAGACTCAACCAACCCCATTGGCTGGCTGACTGTGTGCACACAGGCCTGTGCAATCCCACCAGCGTGATGGATTGACTCTTTCATTTTCCTAGCATTATCTTCATGAGCTTATAAACAAATTTCTAATTTTATAAGTAGAAAGGAAAATTTTCTATGGGGAATGGTACTTTTCAATGACCGAAGTTTAGGCACGTGTGTTGTAAGTTTCTTTATCTTGGAACATCTGCGTTTCCATGTTTTTTCTACACATACCTGTTTCAGGTACGCATGTGCATATTTCTTCCTCAACTCTGAGTCAATCTAGGGATGCTGAGTGAGGTTTTAGGCTGTCTAATTTATAAGCATGGGACTCATTAACCTTTGATGGCTGCATTAAACTTTAAAATAAACCCCACTGCATAAGTGAAAAACATCATTCTCAGCAGTCATTCTCTCAGCCTCCTGAAATTTGTAATAAGAGTGGAAAGTTCCTATGGAGGCCTAAAGGGCGATGGATTGATTTTGTGAGGCCAGGCAGTCACTAAAATAGAGAGACATTCAAGACGAAGACAGCCAAGTTAAGTACATAGTGCCAACCTCAAGCACAATTACAATCTATTGCATAGGTATTCAGCCATCATTTGTATATTTTGCGATGAATGATATTTTCATGTCTTGTTTGTCATTTATTAGCATAAATTATATGAATACATAAATCCAAAAAAGAATTTTCTGAGGCTCAGAAGGGCAGGATCTGTGTGTTGTTAGCGCCTTTGCAACTTGGTGCTGAGTCAGAAACATAGGAGGAGAACCTGGCTTCCGCCACTTTTGAGGATTGATAAGCGAGTGATTCCTCTAACTTAACAAATTATTGATCATTATAAAACCAAAGCTCTAAAAGATATGTTCTTCCCTCTGTTCCTTTCCATGGAATGAGAAATAGATGTCTGTGGTTTGTAACATTAGAGGCAATGCACACCTGCCGAGAGAGAATAGCCTGGTGGCCAGTTGGTCAACATTTTATTCACTTAAATGAATCAACGAGCTATGTAACTAAGGTATTCTTTGAGTCCAAGCAGATATTGCAATTATGATTCTGTTGTTGATCTGTGTGAAAGATCAAAGTAATGTTGTTTTGTTCCTTTCAAAAGACCAGACTAAGTCAGTATGTTGGGCCAGGTTTATTCATGCTATGCTTATGATGTGGAGAACAAGGGAAAAGAGCCTTCTGAACTCCAATAAGTTCTCTGCAGATTTCATGTGATCCATGTCAAAGAGTGCACAGAGTGTACCCAAGAAAGACTAGACTAAAATATCGAGGAATATTAACCATGGGTTCAGCTCACCAAGACAGCGAAATACCTGCAGAATCAATAAAATTTAATGTGTAGTGAATTTAACAGAGTCACTTATAAAAGGCCCAAATTACAATCATTTCTCAATCTTTTTTTTAATGACTGTCTGAATTGCCTCTAAAGCCCAGCTCTGGGATCTAGGCAGTTAATCTGCCTGCGTGCTAAAGCCGTTCCTGTGCTTTGGCTTCACCGAAACCTTCTGTGCAACCCCGGGAAGCAAACGCTCATCAATTCTTACTTGTTTTCCAAACACAAGTGCCTTTAATGTTTTATTTAGAAATGAAAATAAATGCCGTATTTCTTATTCTTTAATTTTTAACTTGGAAAACAATCCCAAGCCAATCTTAAAGGTTTCTAGAACACAATGAATATCAATAAAAACAATAATAAATGATGATCACTTGTAATGTGAAATACAGTTCTAAGCAGGAAAATAGATCGACTTTATAGTGTCATAATTTCCCACACTACCATCAAGGTTAATATATGCCAGATGGCTTTCTTACTTTCATTAAGAACTATTAGCACCAAAACTGTTTAAACTAACAGCAATTCATCATTCTAATTGGTTTTTCTAAGAGTTAATGTGAATTATGCAGGGCAAGAATGATATCCTAAGCATCACTGTGGTTTACAGTCAGGAATTTACACCATTATTTCTAAAGCACATTTGAGTTGGGTGCTTGGTCCTGGAGTGGGTGAGCCTGCTGACCTAAACCAGTATGCACAGATGCCCAGCACAGCTTATTTCTCCCAAGTACTTGGAAGCTGAGCAGAGACATGGAGAAACCAAGGTTGTTAAAGTTCAGCCATAGCACAGAGGGCTGGCTCCCCTGGCTGGGCTCTGGAGTGGCCCTTGGGTCTATGCTTGTCCATTTACCCTTTCCACCTCTTTGCTATCCTGAGGTTTGTTTTTGTGAGTTCACTCTTCTTTCTTTTCTTGTAAGAACCCAGATATTTACCTGCTACCTAAAAACAAAAACTCCATAACTTCCATGTTAGTTACTAGCCTTATTTTGTGCCTCCACATCTAGACCACTGGAGATAAATGTGCATCTATAATTACCAAAAATGTGTCATTTTAAAACATCTAACTGTTCTTGGTTTTCAATGGCCTTGGTATTGAACACGCACTAGTGATAACTTAGTGTCTTTCCTTTATGGAATCAGGTGGAGAGAGGCAGTAACTGAGTGCTTTATCAGAGAGTCTCTTACCTCATCTCCCTTCTCCCCATGCACTCCAGGGTAGCCCCGCTCTCCTTTGCTTCCCTAAAAAGACAGCAACTTCAGTTAACACTGGACCATTTCAGTATTATTTGTAATAACAGGAAAAAAAATCTCCCTTCAGAGCACTTGGGGTGTGCGCTTTGCACAGGGCCATGGGATAAACTAATAGCATCATCTGCACCTGCCCTTTGCCCCATGTTACTAAGGTAGGTTTCACAGGAGTAGGGTATTTTAAAAATGGGATTCGTTTCTCCATGTTTCATTTAGTTAGAATCTCACAAAGGACTTTCTTACCTTTGGCCCCTCTCTGCCTGGGACTCCTGGAGGACCCCGTGGTCCCGCATCCCCCTGGAAGACAGAGGAGTCAGAGCTGCCGGCGGACACTCAGTAGGTGTGCGGCAGGACTCACAGGCATGCCAGCAACCTCTCACCTTCCTGCCTGCAGAATCGTGTTTTCCAGGTTCCCCTGTGCCTCCTTCATCCCCTTTGTTGCTCTTCAGCCCGGGAACACTGGCTGGGCAGTTGCCACAGAAGTTCTAGCGAGCATAAAGACAGTTTCACTGGGAGGTTCCTGAAACCCGTCTATGAAGCTGATCTATTTGTACCCTGGTCAAATGAGCAACTGGGAGGCCGCTCTACCTTCAGAGACTTGTCTGTCCAATCTGAAAGATGGCTTTTTGGGGTAAACACTGGACAAGCCTAATCTGTAATCCTCCTTTACAATACTGGTGAACTTTTACTTAAAAGCAAAACACCACACCCACACACCTCTGCTACCATTTCAATGGAAAATTCCAAATAAATAGTAGGGGTGGGGGATATAATTTGAGAGCGCAATCTAAGTTTTAACTGTTCAGCACTTTTAGGACAGGAAGACTTATTAAAGCTTGAATATATATATATATATATATATATGTATATATATATATATACATGTGTGTGTGTGTGTGTGTGTGTGTGTATTTGCCAATATAGAGCAAAACCCTCAGATACTGATTTCAGAAACATTTTCAGATAGATGATTCCATTGATGATTTTAGTGGAATTCGTATTCAGTAAAATAAGAAAAAATTTAAAAATGATAAAAAAGATAATTGTTTTAACTCAAGAGAAACGTCTTATATCTATTTGATAATGGTCTCATTTTCTTCAGTTAGATAAAGCAAGAGAAACTGATTTTAATAAAGGTTCCTGAGAAATGACTTGATATTATTTTATCGAAATGATTAAGACGCATTCATCACTAGCCTGTGCGCAATCTGCTTCAAAGAGACCTGCCACACAGATTAACCCAGAAGGGCTGGGAGGGATGGTTCGGGGTTAGCATCAGGCCAGGGGCTCTCCATGCTCTGACCAAGGGCATCTTCACAAACAGAAAGCAGCTGGCAGCTTGTGAAAGGCTCAAGGCCTGGAGCTTGCGTCAGTGTGCTGGCTTCCAGGGTCAGGATTTAACATTACGTTATTAAATTGCGTCCGCAGGTCAATCTCTAAATCAAATTCTGGAGGTTGGGGTTTGGGTGGGGGCTACTTGTTTCCCCCTTTCATCTGTTGCATAAAGGTCGTTGGGGTCAGCTGCCAAGCTTTCCTCTCTGCATCCCACCTGTCAGGTCCTTTGTGACTGAGAACCTTACTGAGATGATTCTGGGATGTGTCAGAGCAGGCTGCCCTGGCAAGACCGTCAGCTCCTCACATGCATGAGACTCCTGAGGCTCTGGTTCTCCTTTTAGGAGAGTCCACTCAGTCTGCTGTCTGTCCTATGAGGCACCCCCACACTCTATCAGAACATTTAGTTCTGCTTAAGTAAACAAATTTCTCATCCTTCAAGGATTCAAGCATCTAATTCCTACAATCTTGTCATTTCTAACATTATAGCAGTTACAAAGACTCTGGGGCCTAATACCTGAGGACATGCAATTCCTGTGTCAACCTCACACTTATTAACTATGTATCTGGGCAAATTCTTCAGCTACTTGGGGCTTCAAGTATCTTCAACGAATGAGAATGGTCCTCCAGCCTGAGCTCATAACATTTTGGTAAAGACTCAATGGGAAAGAAATTAGTAAGGTTGCACTGACTGACATATAATTATAATTCAGTATGAGAGCTCTTTGGAACTCTCACAAATATTCCACATTATAAGAAAATGCTGCTTTTCTTGAGTTCCTAATAACCCCTCCAGAAGTTTTTTCTTTGTTCTTTTTGGTTTTTTGAGACAGGGTTTCACTGTAGTTTTAGAGTCTGTCCTGGAACTAGCTCTTGTAGACCAGGCTGGCCTTGAACTCACAGAGATCCACCTGCCTCTGCTGGGATTAAAGGCATGCACCACCACCGCCCAGCCAGAAGTTTTTATATTAATATTTGTATTTACATATATTTTCCTATCTTTTCTTGAGACTAGACTATGTCTTTTGGTGAATTCCATGTTATAACTCTTCATGTTTACATGTATGTCATTTGGCAAATCATGTGAATAAACACCAGTTGTATAAGTGAAATCACTTAACAGTGTTAACTAACACTCTCTGGTCATCTGAAGACAGGAAATATCAGAGTGAAATGAAGGGCTACATTTTCATTTGGGATCACCAGCTCTTACTAGACTGCATGAAGACTACATAAGCATAGTCTTACCCACTGCCAGACCCCCAATCTTACTGATAAAACATAGCAAAGTATTTAAGAAAAATGGTGGCCATAGTGAGTGCACATGCGTGTGTGTGTGTGTGAGAGAGAGAGAGAGAGAGTGTATGTGTGTGAGAGAGTGTGTGTGCGCATGCGTAAGTGTGTGAGTGTGTGCGTGCGTGAGTGTGTGTGTACGCGTGTGTGTGTGAGTGTGCATGTGTGTGTGAGTATGTGTGTGCATGCATGCCTCTGTGTGTGTGTCTGCATAGAGCTGGACTGAAACTTGTACTCTTGTTTCAGGCTCTTAAAGGCTGGAATTACAGGTGTGTGCCATCATGTTTCGCCCGAGGTACTTTATGGGATGGATAATCAGTAGAGATAATTTTTGTTTAACAGGGTAACAGATGTTAGGGCGATTGTTGGCTATGGAATTTTATAGCTCATTTTGTAAAATTCTATGATATAAAAACTCAATCTGTAAGCGAGTGGCACTGGTTTTCTCCTTGAGACTGCCCAGAGCTGACAGGGTGGCAGACAGGCTTTAGGACCATGAGCCAGAGTGAGTTGAAGAAAGGAAGAGAAAGCTAGTGCTTGAGAGGAGGCAGGGTCTACTTTAAGGTAGCAATGATGTCACCCCTTCCTGTAAGTCATCTCAGTACTGTCTTCCCCCATCTTTGTATCCACAATGTGAGACCCGGAAAGAAGGGAATGGGAAGATTGGTATAAATGCTATAAGCTATAATAAGACATGCATGTTCTTATGTCTTAAATATTTTCTAGCAGAGTTTGAATTGTTTGGGATGAGCAGTTAATTATTCTATCTTTGGTAGAAAGTTCCTTTTCAACCTTTTCCACACACCAACATCTAATTCCTTTTCTACCAAAATAAAATACCTTCAGCAAGGCGCCAATGTCTCCCAAGAGAGGAAGTGCAATCTGTAGAGAGAGAGAGAAACTCAAATCCATGGATATTCGCATATACATGAACATAATACAACATGAACATAGAAGTTGATGAGTGTATTTGTTCTAAAGTGCCATGCCAATTGCTTTGGGGATGGTGAGTCTAGCCAGGCTCTCTTGCTTAGCTTTCTTTCAGGGCATGGAACTTACACACAGTACAGCTGGAACCAGCATGTGAGAACAGTCACTGTTTTGTCAACAAGATCATGCAAACTCACATGTGTCATTGCTTTGATCATACACCTGTATTTTAGAGATTCATGACAAGGTCACCTTTATGCTTTCTCTGTGCTGTTGGTTTTTAGTAATAGAGTGTTTTATTTAATCATTTGGTAAAAGGAAATCACTCATCAAGCCCATTATCAGGCTGCTGAGAAACACGAAGATTGCATGGTGAGTCTGCCTTAAAATTAACTCTTACGGAAATTCTAAAGATACTTAAGTGAGGGGCAAGACAGACATTTGGGGATGGTGGACTGTGTCTGGGCCACAGGTCTTAACATGTCCTTTCAGAGGAACACTGTATAAGCCTGGGTGACAATTGACAGGATGAGAGATGAGGGATGCACTGTTCAGACTTGGAAGTAAAGGAAGCCGGATAATGCTGCCGCATGCAGCTCCTAAGATCTCAAAGGCACAGCCAGTGTGGGAGGTGAGAGAATCGGAGAAGACACAGCGAGGGGCCAGATTGGGATTCTATTATACAAAACTCTTAATACAATGCCGTGTGCCGTGTGGCCTCTCAAAACTGTAAGTGCTGGAGCTGAGGCTATTTAAAGGGACTTACTGTCACTCACAGCAAGGCTTAACCTGAAATAAAGCTATGTAACACACGGTTAGCGTCTAAATGCATTTTCTGAGAGTTTCAATCCAATTTTCATAATTTAATCCTCGCATCTGTTGAGAGGCACTCAATCAATGGGTATGGACCACGTTGGAGGTAACTTACCTGCAAACTTTCATCTAGAAAAATGAAATTCATTTACTCACCAGCATTAGAAAGACTAGAAATTGTGGTTATCTGTTTTATCTCAATTTTCCATGGAACAAAGACTTTAAATGCTCAGGCTCAGCCTGGGGCAAAATTGGACAGCTGAATTATACCCTTAGGAAATAAGAATTCATCACACACGCACAATAACGCTGACCCAGCTTGAATTTTCCCCCCTCTACAAAATAATGGGGATAAACAAAATCACCAAGCAGTCACCGAGCATTGCAATTAGTTTGGACAGCAAAATTTGCTTGGTAGGCTGTTTGGCTTCTGGGTGCGTTAAAGATACATAAATCAGGCAAAGCCTGCCTACATACCGGGTCACCTGGGGGGCCTGGAAGGCCTGGCTTTCCGTCTCTCCCTGGAGGTCCCTAAAAACAGACGTCGCTTTATTCAGACCTCTGCAAGTTACAGCTGATTAAAATGGACCCGGATGGGAGCTGGGGAAAGGTCCTTACATCATTCCCTGGGGTCCCTGGAGTTCCTGGCAATCCGGGCAGACCTCGAGGACCCTAGAAAAAGGAAGAAAACAGTCTTGCTGGGCCTGTCTTTTGAGCAGTTCCTGGCAATAAAGAAAACTGAACTTCTTTTGTGCGTAATTTAGTGAAGTCACTTACCTGAATACCTGGCTCTCCGGTGGGTCCTTGGGAGCCCTGGGTAAACAGAGAGAGAATTATCTAACCTCTACCAGGGATACTCATAAATGCCCTATCCTTTACGTAGCAGAAAAACGAGGTTTGGCACTTGCACAACCTGAAAACTCTGTAAGTCTTGCACACAGTTTCTGGTGGGCGCACCATGACCTCAAGCCATAGGTAAAGAACCAGATATTCAAGGCTGAAGCACAAGATTTTGCTCAATTACTTGGATGTTTCTTTTATTCCCCTCTGCTGCTGCACACTCAGAAGTGTCCAAGCAATGTGTCCACATCCTGTCAGGTCAGAAACCAGTTGTTCATGGGGCTCAGGAACCTGAGACTCCTTTCCTTTCTTCGTTGGCTCATTTTTCTCTTTTTTATTTGCTTATTAATTTTTTTTTGAAAGAACATTCTTCTCACATGCAGTACAATTCCCAGCACAGTTTCCTCTCCCTCCACTCCTCCCAACTCCCTCTCCTCTCTTCTCTCCCTCAGACCTGCTCCACTTAGATTTCTTCTGCAGAAAAGAGCAGGCCTCCAAGACACAACAACCAAACACAGCAGCACAAGATACAATAAGACAAGGTAAAATCCCTCATGTCCAGGCTGGACAAGGTGACCCAGCAGGAGGAAAAGAGTTCCAAGAACAGGCAAGAGAGTCACAGAAACACACTCTTCCACAGTTGGGAGTACCACAAAAGCACCAAGCTAACAGCTAGAGCATGTAAGCATAGAACCTGCTATGAACACATGCGGGTTCTCATTTTCCTCTTATGAAAGAGCAGGGTCCAGTATTCAGTGGTGGGCGTAGATGGCTAACTAACAGCACCTGGAGTTATTTTCTTCTTCTGGAATGCTGAGTGTGGAATAACCCAAGAGAGGCTGAAGTTGGCCAAGAAACCAATGACATTCCTTCTGGTTATGCATATCTTTGGGTCATTGAATTTCTGGTGCACATGACTTCAGTTTTAGCACTTGGGAAGCAGACGTAGGCTGACTTCTGTGTGTTCCAGGTCTTACGCAGTGAGTTTAGCCAGTTAACCCTATGTAGTGAGACCCCATCTTTAAAATCTTTTTTTCTCTAAAGTAGTTGGTATCAACATTTTCTGGGTTCTTTGTCTTATTTAAAAATATTCATAACATCTTTATTATCTAAGCCTTTTGCTGCCTTTTTATTGTGGTATTTTTTCCTATATACTGGTTACCTATTTAAAGAGTTATTGACATAATGTTTTATCAACTGTTAAAGGTAGTGTGTAAATCTGTGGTTTCCATTCTGACATTTTCACACACATTGCTCCGATGGGTCTCCCCCCCACCATTGCCCCCTTTTTGGCCTGTTTTCTTCGTGGTGGTCTCCCGTCTCACCACAAGACTCGCCTTATGCTTCCCTGTCAGATGTATTTCATTACTCTCTCTTTTCTTCCCCTCTCATTCTTCTTTCATTTCTACTTATGTGACTTACACACACACACACACACACACACACTTCCACATGTACTATTTGTCTTTCTGAGTCTGACTTATTTCACATAATAGAATGATTTCCAGTTGAATCCATTTTCTGTAAATGTCATGATTTCCTTTTCCTTCGTGGGGATGAATAAAACTCCTGGTGTATACACACGGCATTTTCTTCATCTGTCGAGAAAGCCCCTGGGCTGGTTCCATCCCTTAGCTATTGTGAACAGTGAAGAAATAAATATAAACGTGCAAGTCTCTTCGGGGTAGGCTGAGCCAGAAGGCTTCTGGTGTGCGCAGAGCAGGATAGCTGGGCCGTGTGCTACTTCTTGCTTTACCTTTGAGGAGACCTCCTCGTGATTTCTGTAGATGCTGCATGTATTTTATATCCACACTAGGCGTGCGTAAGAGCTACACTTTTCTCAAAGTATTACCAGTATTTGTCTCTTGTCGTGATGATAGCTTTTTCGGACTGGGGTGAGGTGTGTGTGTGTGTGTGTGTGTGTGATATACATGTGTACACGGGAGTCCTGGTGTTGGAGGCCTTGAAACTGGAGTTACAGGATGGTGTGGGTTGCCTGATGTGGGTGCTGAGAGCAGAATTCGCTTCCTTGGAAAGCTCACACAGATCAAGCTCCGAACTGACGAGTCGTCATCTCTCCAGTCGCCAAAGCAGCTTTAACTTTTATTTCCTTGATGGCTAAGGACGGTAGACACTTTAAAAGTTATTATGGATTGGCTATTGTGCGTTTTCTTTTAAGAGCTATTTAGTTCATTAATCCATTATTGATAGAGAAATTTATTTATTTGTTTATTTTGACCTTTGGTTCTTGTAGTTTTTATAGATTCCTGATATTAGTGCAGAGACGCCATCTTTGCTGTCCTCTCCTGTCCGGTGGTTGCTTCCTTTGTGGTGCAGAAACTTCTTAGCTTCACAGTTTCCCCTTTGTCAGTTTTTAACTCTCTATGCTGCTGGGTTTCTTTTCAGAAAGGTTTTTGCTTTCGAAAACCTGTATTTCGAAGAGTTTTTCCTCATATTTCCCCTATAGTTTCTGTTTTTATATTAAAGTCTTTGATTTATTTTGACTGATTATTTTTCCTTCATGGTGTGTGATATGGGTCTACTTTCTTGTATATGTGATATTCTTGTATATTCTTGTATATATCTGTTTTTCCCTGCACCATTTGTTGAAGAGGCTATTTTTGTATTCCAATGAATATTTTTGATACTTTTCTCAAAAATTAGGTGGCTGTGGTAGTGTGGATTTATTTCAGGGTTTGTTATTCTCCTCCCTCAGTTTACATATCTGTTCATGTGTCAGAACCATGCTGTGTTGACACTATGGCTCTATAGCGCACGTTGAGATCAGGTATTGTATTTCTAGAATTTCTCCTTCTGATTAGGATTGCTTTTGCTGTTCAGGGTCTTTGGGCTTCTATATACATTTTAGCATTGCTTTTTCCAGTACTGTGAAGAACATCATTGGAATTTTGACAGAGATTACATTGAGTGCATGGGTGACTTTTGGTAATATAGACATTTCTCATGGCACTAGCTCGGTCTGTTTGTGAGTGTAAGTGATGTCTCCAATGCCTAGTGTCTTCTTCAGTACCTTCAAGTTTTCATTGAACGTGTCTCTGCCCTCTTTAGTCCGGCTTATTTTTAGGTAGCGCCACTTCCCCCCCCCCCCCTCGCCTGGGCTAATTGAGTGAGAATTTTTCCCCTGATATTTCTTCTTATGTTTCTTATATGCTATATAGAGAAGCTACTACTTTTTAATGCTTAGCTTGCATTCTGCTACATTGCTGAAAATGTTTTACCACTCTAAGAGTTTTCTGGCAGTGTCTTCAGGGTCTTTGCAGCATAGGGCGAAGTAGAGTCTGAACAGTGATGATTTGATTCTGTCCTTTCCTGTTCATATCTCTTCTACTTTTTCTCTCTTCTTACTGCTTTCTGTAAGACTTTGAGCACTGCATTGAAGAAGACTGGAGACAAAAATGTAACCAACTGGGTTGCAATAACTTGACTGAATATTACTTACTGTCCTGCCTGGGATTCCTACCCCTGGTGGGCCTGTGTCCCCTGGGGAGCCATGGATACCTGGTAGTCCTCTTTCACCCTGTGAAAGCAAGTGCTCCTGTTAGGATGAGGTTCCAGACAGATGCATTTTCAGTTACATTTTCTTAATTATTAATTTTTTTTAAAACTAGCTATGAAATCTGTATACCTTTGGACCACGTGGGCCAGGTGAACCAGGATTTCCATCTAATCCCTAAAAGGAATGAAAAAAGTAACATGATTACATTTCTTTCTCTACATAACTAAAAAAATTAGAAGTTATAATTAAAAACATGATTCATTACCCTTCATTTTACTTAAGACAAGAGAGAAAATTTTAGAACGTCCTAGATTTTGCATAATTAGCTCAAAATATAGGGTTTTATCTGTGAAATTAAACATCTAATCTTCAGAATTATTGCCATTGATAATTGTTATAAAAAGTAGAAAGAAGGTAGAGGAAAATAAGCCAATCAAATGAGCATATTGGCTTTTAGGTTTTCTAGTAATAGAATTTTCTGCATCCTGAGTAGAGCATGGATCATATACACTCTCTATGAATGATGGTCTGTGGTTATGTTCTTAAACTCCAGAAGGGCAAGGTTGAGTGTTTGTTTTAAGGCAGTGTCCTAGTAAGATCTACAGCTCACAACCTGTGTTTAAGGATTCATAGATCCTTGAGGAATCAGTACATAAGGTGCTGGGACCTTTGAAACATCTCAGTTTATCTGTAAAATACTGCAGCCTGTGTATCTTCTGCAGCTGAGACCTCTCGGCTTACATCCAACATTCAAATTGTTTTAGCTTTATGAGCTATGGGATAAGATCGATCTTTCCTTCCTCCCTCCCTCCTTCCTTCCTTCTTTCCTTTTTTTTTGGCCGGCTTAAAGACTACAGTTGTATCCTGAAACTGTGGACCCAGAATTAGCAGTACATTAACTCTCAAGGGCAATCCTAGTAAAAGAGCGGTACTTACTGGTTTCCCTGGCAGGCTTTTCCCTGGAGGCCCAGCATCACCCTTTGGACCTGGAACTCCAGGAGGGCCTAGCCTTCCACCAGCATCTCCCTGTGAAAACAAGATGAGATTCTTTCTTTCTCTGCTGAGGTTCATGATGGGAAGTTGGAAGACAGCAGTTTCCATTGCTTTATTTTGTCATAGCAAGGCAAACTTCATCTTTGTGTTCACGTCTGTACTCACACCCTCAACAGCATTTACACGTGCCTAGCTCACTCTAGGAGCTGCTCTTGTTATTTTAAATACATCCACGTTCTGCAATGAGTTCTGTTTTACAAAGTTGAACAGTACCATGAAACACAGACTTGTATATAAAGTGTGGAGGCCCCAAAATGTGAGCCTATTTCCCCTTGACCAAAGATCAGAGAGCTGGAATTTACTTCTAGAGGACAATAACTCCTTCAAGGTTATTGTCTGTTTCTACCTCAAACAAAGGTTCCACCTAGATTTTAGGCCCGTGGGTTCTGCTCTCCCAAGATTATTGTCAACAGGTATGGCTAATATCCAGACTGTGTATTTCAGGAATTGAGAAGTCGATATGTTTCTACCCCAAACAAAAGTCTAAGGGTTCAACTAAGTTCCAGTTCCCTTAGGGAGATAACAATGGAGTCTACTTAGGGAGTGGTTTGCCTACGGAATGTTTTGGTCTAGGGGTGTGAGCATTTCTTGTCTTGTTCTAACCACAAAATGTTTAACTATGAATGTAGCCCACAACCTTCAGTATGTGGTTATGTTCATTTCCTTGTATCATTTTAATGCAGTATTTTTAATCTTACTCCTGTCTTTTGGGATTGGGGTATTTTAAGCAATTGGAAATTAAATGTGGGCGGCTTCAGTACTCACTGAAACTCCCTCCCGGTACTATCCTATACTTCTGTTTTATTATTTTTACTTGCATCTTTGCCCTCTTTACTATTCTTCTGATCCCCATGCCCCCACCCTGGTAAGTGGTATTTTTGTCGAAGCTGGTCTCCAACAATCAAACACGGACACAAAGGGCCCATCTATTCATGAAGATTTTTAGATGATCTACATTCCTGATTTCCTGGGGAGGATGCAATATATTGATATGCCATCTTCACACACATCCAAGCAGATGGTAAGAGGCGGAGAGACTTTTGAGAATTCAAAGCTTGACCTCAGCCCTAACATTTTCATTTTCAAGTTAGCTCATTTGGTTACCTGGAATTCCTGTGCCATACCCATACTGCAATGATGCATGACATCAGGGGCGCCATATCACAGGTTATATGAATGTCTGTCCCTTGCACTGATAAATCCTGGGAAGCTCAAGTCTTGATAGGCTAATCTTTGGCTTCTTTAGTGACTTTAGAATCTTTGGTTTCTTCTTTCTATTTTTTTTAACATACTGTACAAAAGTAAAGTCTAAACGGTACCTTCTCTCCTTTAATGCCTTGTATCCCTGGGATACCATGTTCTCCTGGCAATCCCTAGAAAATACAGAATTAAAGGGAAAGAACAGTTAGAACCTCTCTTAATGTAAGGGGACAGGATTTTAACATCTTTCTATAAGGTAATGCTTATTTGGCCTAAGGAGAAATGTTATTTGAAAATATGTGGCTTCTTGTCTCAAATGAAGTCAACAGCTATAATGGGAATTGGAAAAGAACTAAAATGTTCCATCTAAGAAGAGGGAGGGTGGTGGTTGGTGGCATTGCAACCCAACTTAAGTAGTCAAGATATTTTTATTATGTTTAACCAGAGTGACTATTTCTTTTCTTTTCTTTTTTTTTTTAGTTCCAATAGATAGTTTAGTCTAACCAGAGGATTTTGTGGTTAATCTTGTGTTATTAATATTGTCTCTTTTTATGGTGTCTTTCAATGAGTTACCTCAGAAGTGGTCCAAAGTTGGCTTGTAGGAAGAATATAAAACAGCAAACTTTCCCTATGATAATAGTGGTGATGCATGCCTTTAATCCCAGCACTGGGGAGGCAGAAACAGGTGGATTTCTGAATTCAAGGCCAGCCTTGTTTACAGAGAGAGTTCTAGGAGGGTCAGGGCTATATAGAGAAACCCTGTCTCCAATAAGCAAACCAACAAAACCTTTGCCCTATGGATTGGTTGTTCAAATTAGCAAGCACACTATGATGCTAACCAGGAGACCCCAGGAGGCTCAGGTTGTAAGCATCAGAGCAGGGAAAGAAGCCATGGACTGCTCCCAAGATGGTAGAAAAGTAGCAATCTCAAGTCTGCCTACCTAGAATTCTAGTCATGGACAGAGAGAGAGTCACTGTGAGCTGAGGCCAGGAATTTTCTCCATTTTGATCTAGTTTCTGATGGTTAGCTCTCAATTCATATGGGGAGGTCAGAATATTATCCAAGGGGTAGAAATCTGGGGAAATAGATGAAAAATGCTTCCAAAGAGAATGAGGGTTTGTCTGTGTAAGAGAGAAGCGGGGGGTGGGGGTGAAGAGAGCCCACTACAGAGTTACTTTATCTCACAGAACATTGGAAATGCTTGTTGTCTTTTTTGACTTTCTCTTATTTCCTCGGATATTTCCGTTTTCCTCTATTCACAGTAGTATTGACTATGACAATTGAGTTAACCTGAGTTTCAAAGATTGGATTATTAGGCTCTATACCAAGGGACTTCCCAGTAGTAAACCCCGCCCCCGACATCAGAGGTGATCAGCCTGGGTGGTGGCAGTGACTCATGTTTTTGGGGAATGTAGTATAATTCAGATCATTAATATGTTCTTTATGACATATCCTAATCTTAATTTCATCTCAAAATATTGAAGATACTATACATACAACATCTCCTGGTGGTCCTCTGGGTCCCATGGAACCTGCAGGTCCTTGCTGACCCTAAAACAGAAGATAATAGATACTTTAACTCTGCATGAAAATAGATTGTATCTGAGTGTTGGTGAAATACCTTGTGCCCTTGACAGGGAAGAGACGGACTTCTCAGCATCCCACCTTTGTGTACAGTGCTGACATGCCCTATGAGCTTGGCAAGATAGTTCTGAGATGCTTCATTTAGTGGGTCTGCTTTTATCAGCAGGTGATAACTGGGTAGCTGGCTTCATGCACTGCTGGGAACATTCTCTGAGAGTCTCTCTCCCACCTCCCCCAACTGCTTTTGCTTAAGACACTCCTGCAGAATTTCCTCTGGGGAACACCAGCATCTCAGGGATGCATAATTTTAGTGTAGAAACAGAGCCTGGATCCTTCCTTTCCCTGTCAAGAACGTGGCACAGGGTCATAGATTTAACTGATATTGTTTACTTGTAAAGCTTTTGTGGATGCCATTCTGAATTGCCCTTGCTCTTAAAAGGGATTTTGAAGTCCTATTGTATACCAAAAGGCCTAGCTTCTGTGTTTGTAACAAATGCAGCCAGTGGTACTGGTGGGGAGGGAGGTCACCATGGAAACAAGATAAAAATCTCTGAGAACATCTGTGAAGAAAATGAGCGGTACACCAACGCCTTTCTGCATCCAGGACGGCTGCAATCTCCTCATCATTTCCCAATAGCGACTTCTTATACACCTTAGTATATGAAGTGCATACCTTTAGCCCTGGGCTTCCTGTTAAACCAGGGGGACCAGCAACTCCAGGTTCCCCCTAAATGCAAGAGTGGAAAGGAAAGTTGGATGTTACTATTATTTTCAGCATCTTCTGAAGGATGCAATGGTGACTGAAGAAATGCGGAGGGATTACCTTTATTCCCTGTGGTCCTAAAAGGCCGGGCTCTCCCTGTAAATAAAAGAGTTGGCGTATGGTTCATTGCTGAATCCAGATAGGGTCGGACATCTTGATCCTTTAACTGACTTTCTATCGGTTAGCATACAACAAAGCGGACATTGTGGAAGCTATGTAATCCAGCAATGCTCACCCTAAGACCAGATCCAGAACCCTTATTGCTAGGAAGTAACAAAACTCCTCATTTCATTCTTTACTTGGGACAGCACGTGTGGTAGTTTGAAAGTATTTGGCCCCCATAAGCTCATAGAGAATGGCACTTTTAGGAACACACCTTTAATCCAGACCTTGAGGATGCAGGGTATACCTTTAATCTGGGCCACGCCTTCTGTTGGAAGTGTGTCACTGTGGGGGCGGGCTTTGAGGTCTTTTTCCTAGGCTTCACACAGTGTGACAGTCAGTGAACTTCCTATTGCCTCTGAGTCAAGATGTAGGGCTCTCAGCTCTAGCACCACCTCTGCCTGAATGCTGCCATGCTCTCTCCGATGATGGACTGAAACTCTGAACTATAAGCGAGCCTCCCCCTCCCCCACCAACTAAATGTTTTCTTTATAAGGATAGCTGTGGTCATGGTGTCTCCTCACAACAATAGAAACCTAACTAAGACGTCATGGCACGTTAGCATTCACCACTAAATGGTAGCCAACCTCAGATGAGAGGCAGGATAGAATAGGCTAAGTTCAAAGGGGTGTGTGCTGGTAATTCTACTTCCGGGTGCTTAATAAAAACAGAAAAGATTATATGAAATAGCACAATATTTTCTTATTTCCCATGCCTCACTTAAAAGTTCAATCTGTGTCTTTAACAAAAATTTTGAAAATCTGTACTGCTTGCTTTAGTTTTGTAGTTTAGATAGTCTTCTTCTTTTCCTTCCCTCCCTCCCTTCCTTTCTCTCCTCCCTCCCTCCTTCCTTTTTTCCTTCCTTTCTTTTCCCCTGAGACAGGATTTCTTCCTTGGTTGTTCTGAAACTTCCTTTGTAGACTAGGTCAGCCTTGGCCTTTAACTCACAGAGATCTACCTGCCTCTGCCTCCAGAGCATTGGTTTTAAAGGCATGTGCCACCACTATCTGCCAGTTTAGATATTCTTACATTGAGGCATAACCACTAATAGCAGTAGGCTACAAAACAGAAACAAAAGCCATGAATAGGGCTGGGAAGGTGACTAAGAGAGCGAAGGAAGTTGCCCCTGAGCCTAAAGACATGAAATCAGTCCTCAGGACCCACGTGGTGGAAGGAGAGGACAGGCTCCCACAAGCTATCTTCTGACCATCATATACACACCAAGGCATGCATACAAAATGCGGCACACACATACCATCCCCCTAAAATAAATGTAAAATAAAAATACAAAAGAAAGCCTGCATAACCCAAATCAAATGTACAAGTGTTACCACAAGATAGCAACTTACTTTATCAAATCAATTAGGAGCTGAACCACAAACTGAAGAGAGAATCAATGAAATAGCAAACCCAAGACAGCACTAAACAGCTACTTACTCTATCTCCCTTTTCACCTCTGGTTAAAGGCTCCCCCTAGGAGAATGGGTAGAAACAAGAATCAATTATAAACACTTAGAAATCAACTCTGACAGGGGTAAGTGAGAATGACCTTACAGATTCCTCCATATTCCCAAACGAGCACCGAGTTAATCATGTTAATACTATTTAGGGGCTCCCAACAGCAGTCAAATTGAAATGCTGCCCTAGGCTAAACCTTCCTATTCCGAAATGAAGACGAGCACACAAGCATCCATCTGCAAGTGGAGGGAAATGGGTTCGGTTAAACTGTTGAGTGGCAGGTACCCACTTGAATTTCCCACCCAGGCTAACTGTGTTCAAACACACGGAAACATGGTTTCAACGATGCTCTTTGACGTGTCTGTGTACTCTAACCAAAATGACTCAAAAGGGGTTAATTACTGGGGAGACAATTGTACAGGTGGATGGAACTGATTGGTGGCTATTGGGCTTAGGATGAAGGTTCCCTGGACAGATAGATGATGTAGGAGAATCTATCTATCTATCTTTCCTGCTGACCTGGCAGCTGAATCTTTCCCTGTAAGCCATGACCTCGTGGTGACATACAGATTATTAGAAATGGGTTGAGTCAAGATGTGAGAGTTAGCCAATAAGAGGCCGGAGATAATGGGCCAGGCAGTGTTTAAAAGAATACAGTTTCCATGTAATTATTTCAGGTAAAGCTAGCCGGGAAGCGGGCTGCAGGAAGCGGCCCACCATTCTTTCTACAGATAGATTTGAAGAATCATCCTATTCCTGACACTCTTCCTTGCTGTGCCCATGTTACCAACCTTCTCTGGTTACACACACACACACACACACACACACACACACACACACACACACACACCATGGTTAACCCTCAGTTATCAAGGAGAAGTTGCTATTATTATAGCCATATACAGTTGAAGAAACTGAGGCACAGATTGGCCAGAATTCTTCGGGCTCACTTCCTCTTCAATGGTGACTGAGAAGTTTGCATATGCCCGAGGATGCAGCCATAGGATTTGAATCAGCTTGGTGGCTGAGTGTGGTGACAAGCAATCAACCACCTCTTCTTCTAAATGAACCAAGCTGCCCTCTAGTGCATGCGGGGGCTAACTTTTCTCAGGTTAAAGCCACAGATTTGTTACCTGGTGTAACCACACAAACTATGATCTATGTAACACGATGCCATCTTTATTATGGGTTAATTTTTACATGTTAGATCAGGGCCTTGTTTATAGTCTTGCTTTACATATTTTTATCTTAAAATTATGTGTTCACCTACTAAGGTATTCATGGTGGGCCACTTTGTTTCCACCTCTGCTTGCAACCTTGATATCTACATTGAATCCCCCACTCCCTGGGGCTTAATCCAGGTCAGTGCCTTATGAAGCTGAATCCTAAATTTTCTCACCTTACTTTTCCATTTGGAGATTAGGTTTCACTAAGTTTCCCAGTTAGGACTTGAACCCTGTATCCTAGGATAACTTTCAACTTGTGGTCCTCCTGCCTTATTCCCCTGAATAGCTGGGGTAACAGACCTGTGCCTCCAGGCCTGGTTCAAAGTCTACATTGATTGGTGTCATTTGTAGGAGTCTGGTTGACTGAGGTTGGCAATTTAGTCTCATCTCCTCTGAATACTAACTGGAGTAGCCATTTGAAATTTTCGAGTACCCCTTTCTTTATCTATAAAATTGTGAATTCGAATGAGATCCTTTTGTGTACATATTTTAGAGCTCTGATACACAGCACATGCCATCATATTCTAAATGCCCAGTAGTGGGGGGGGGGAAGGAGCATGTGGCCATTTGGATGTTGGGGTTCAAAATTCTAGTTCTCTAGTAGTTAGATACTGACTACTCTTCTCTATGAGCTTCCTGGTTATTATGCAAAGTCACCCTTAGGAACTATGCATTACTCCAACCCTCAATGATGTTGGAGCCACAGCACTGGTCCTTTGAAAGAGCAGCCAGTGCTTAGGACCGCTGAGCCATGTAACCAGCCCAAGGAGTTTATTTCTACAGAATAAAAAGGACAGGGCTAAGATAGGCCCACATGGGCAGCCAGGCTTCCCATGAACATGGAAGGCAGGAGAGGAAGCCAGAGGGAATTCGTAAGAAGAAAAAGGCCTCTTTAGGAAGCATGCATTTCTTCAACCCTCAGCGATGATGCTGGAGCAAGGGCATTGGTGTCACTTGTGGGAAGTGCAGGGTTCCAGGCTCCACCCAGAACTCCTGAGCTAGAATTCTCAGGGCTTGAGCCCACACTCATGTTTACAGAGCACAGCTGCTGATCACAGAATATTCTTTTCTGCTTCGTGTCTTGTCAGATCCTCCACGGTCCACTCAGGAAATTAAAATTGAGGTGGGCGCCACTGGGAAGGTAGAGTGGAGAGTCCAAGGGAGGCTAGGAGATGCTCTGAGCGGTGTCTGGGGGAGGGGTCGCATGATAGCCCCCAGACCCTTGGAAATCCTCGGCCGGAGGACACTGTTAACGGCTGTTCGGGAGGTCTGGACAGGGCACTGAGGATAAGAGACCAGAAGGTCAATAACTAAGGCCCGTAGGTGCAATGCTGATTTCAAAGCTGCCAGAAGCAATTCCCAGGACTACTGGAGATGTCTAAGAGAAGCTGAGCAGGGGAGAAGCTCAGCTTGGTAGCGCCGAGTGCTTTCCCTATTGCTTCTGCTTGTCATGCAGGTATTTTAGTGACTTCTCCATTCCTTGTGTCCAATCAACCCATAGCCCTAGCTCACTCTGGAACACGGGTGAAACAATTTAAAAAGATGTGCTGCATGTAACAGAAATGGCAAGACATAAGTTAATCCTGATTTTTGCACAAGAGTGAAGACCTGTGTTTGTTTTACAGAACTCACGTCCAACAAGGGCAGTGTATGGTTGCCATCCCGGGGCTGGGGAAGCACAGCAACAGGATTCTTGAACATGGCTAGCTAGTTAGACTTGCCAGATGACTGAGTTCCAGGTTCAAGAGCACACAAACACACACACACACACACACACACACACACACACACACACATACACTAAATGTTGAAACTTTTTTTTTTTTTGCAACTAGGCTTCTGCCATCTCTTAGGTGGTCCTATTTGAATACAAATAATGTGATAGAGTTTCTCTTTTCTTTTCTTCTTTTTTTCCCCACACGAGGAAAAGTTTTGAAAGAAAGCAGTCACAGCAATATTGGAAGGCGGCTTTGCGAAGTCACTGTGATCTCACAGAAACCAGAAAGGAAAATAACTTCAGAGGTGTACTGAGAGCGATTGCTTGAGCAGAGAGGGAAGCATTTTCAATTTTTAAGATAAATTTGTACCAGTCTTGATATATTGATTGTGTTTCTCACTTCAGATATGGTGTTCAGTCATCTCCAGGCAACTTAAATGGTTTGAATGCCTGGGTTCTGGAAACAGCCTAACCTGTGTGCAGAATGGGCTACCTCAAGGGGCTTTTTTATACGAGTTACATGAGTTAATATATAAAAGATCTGGTGCCTGGCATGGTGTGTACTTGCCTCAGAATCTGATCTACAAAACTGTTCAGATTGTTAAAAGTAAAGGGCCATGGAATTGCTGCTGGGAAAATACTTTTAATTCTTCATCTGTTTTTTTGCTTTCTCCCTCTATTCTGGAGGATAAAATACTTACAGGTTCTCCTTTCTGTCCTTTAGGGCCAACAGACCCTGGAAATCCTGGCAGCCCAGAGTCACCCTGTCGAGACAAAACAGAAGAGAGACACTACCTGAGTGAAGAGAAATTCTCCCTTCAGCCCCAGAATCCAGCGGCCTGGGTCCAGGGCCTCGGGAAGCTCCATACCTAGGCAGTCTGTTTGCCTAATAAGGAGTCTTTGCCCTCCTCCATGCCGTAAGTCTTCCAGAAGTCCGTAACATTTTATTAGGACATTTAAAATTAATGTGGAACAATGTTAATTATTTTTCAAGGACAGGACACAGAGAGGAGAAAAGAATTACAGTTTTGTTCTGGTGTAGCCAAAACATTATTTATTTAATTTTGCCTTTAAATGACACAACAGTCTGCTCCTGTTTTCTTTCCAGGACTCATTTCTTATTTTAGGTGTGTGTGTGGGGGGGGGGGAGGAGTCCGTGATCGCAGAGAGAGAAATGAGTCTGCCAGCTGTCCCCAGCGTTTCCCCGTGCTGTGTGGATGACTGACTGGAGACAAAGAGATCACTTGGGCTGGAGAGATGGTTCAGAGGTTAAGAGCACTGACTGCTCTTCCAGAGGTCCTGAGTTCAAATCCCAGCAACCACATGGTGGCTCACAGCCATCTGTAATGAGATCTGGTGCCCTCTTCTGGCCAGCAAGCATACATGACATGCAGACAGAACACGGTATACATAATAAACAAATAAATCTTTTAAAAAAAAAGAGATCACTCTCGTTGATATGGTGACAGCAGCAGCTTAGAAATGTCTGAGACATTTCTAAGACATTTCAACACTTGTCAAAAGTGTTGAAGAGGAATTTGTATGTGGCACAGAAAGAGGACTTTCAGAAGATACAGTTGGAGAGAGCAAACTGCTGAGTCATCTTTCTAGCCCTGATATATGATGCATCCTAGCAGAAATAGGAAAAAACAAACAAATAAACACGTCTTGTATATCCCTGGCAGTACTTTACCACATTGTAGGTGGCATGCGACTTTCTAGAGAGAGTAAATCATGTTCGATATAGGAAGATATAGGCAGTTCGATATAGGCAGTGAGCACTTACGGCACCAGTGTGTAACTGGTTTGTAAAACTCTAAACTGACCTCTGTGTCACACACGAGGTTTGTGCTATAACATCCCCAGAACATAGTCATAAAGGAAGCATACTCCAGACAATCATCTCGTTTATCAGAAGTAAGCAAGTGTAGGGGCTAGGAATCACTTAAAAACACACATCTGCTCAGAATAATAAAGGATGGGTGAAAGAATGAAGGCCAGGATTTTGATGCTGTGATGTGTGAACTGAGGTAGGCAGAATGCCAGTGAAGGACAGCAGAGGGACCCAACGAAGCCTGCGCTTTGTGCTCCCTGGGTGGGGTTGGCCTTGGCTAAACCATAAGAACACATCTCACAAGTGAAATCTCGCAAATGTTTATGTCTAATACTAGACACATGTGGGTTCGTTTCATGCTTGAAATGCATTGCAGTGGCTTATCGCAGTCGATATGAGTGGAAAGGCGGCGATGAATTTGCGGAGACTCAGAAGGCTGTCTTCCAGCCCAACAATTCTGATGCTGCTCAGAAGGTCTTGTGCTGTTGAGCCTCCATCTTGTTTGTGCCACAGTCTGCTCCAAGAGAAAGCTGATTTTTTCCCAGGAATACTTGCTCTGCTAAACTGTCCCAAAGTCTCAATGCAAGTCATTTGCACCGACCAAATACATGCAAATACTGACCCTCCACCACACTTTGGGGTGTGCAAAGCCGAAGAAGACAAGGCACTAAGGATGGCAATAGCTCATAGCAAAAAAGAGCCAAATGAGGACTTATGAGCAGAAGGCATGAACAAAGAAGAAAAACGGATGTTTACTAAGAGCCCAATTTGCTTCCAGGTGAGTTCATCTCATTAGATCTTAATCCTCCCATCGGTTCTTCCTATAGATGATCATGCCCACTATACAGATGGGGAAACCGATGCTTGGGGCAATGAGTTGGCTTCCCAAGGTAACACAGCAGTCAACGCCATAGTCAACATCTGATCCCAAAGTTGATGCTTCTCCCATTCCTCAGTGGTTCCCAGCCCCGAGGGCATGTCACAATCATCTCACACATGCTTAAGTCACAGTAATACTGGTCTCGGAGTCCCTATATGTGAGGCCTTAGAGCAGGCCTCTATTTTCCTCATCCTCTCCCAGCGGGTCTATGTACAATCAGGATTCAGAACCCCTGGCCACATTGCAAGCATAGCCAGAGACCCACACCAAGGAGTTTACATTTTCACTGTGGAAAACACAACTTTAGAAAGCCAAGAGATGGATCCAGAATAGACAGGAAGTGGATGTGAACGTAGAGTTGACTTCCTTCTCCCTGCCATTGCTACACTAGGGTTTCCCCATTTACTCTATGCACGGTTTATTGGCAGTGGCTCCTTCATGACAGGTAATTTTAAAAACCCTTCTGTTGGTGCACTGGTATGAGGCTCAGTGACAAGTTCCCTGCAGGCTCTTCTAGATCATTTATCTGGGTAGGGTGATGGGACAGATACGCCACCAGCTTTTCCTGCGTCCCCTTTAGATTCTGAAGCAATTAGAAGAGATTCCAAGCGGTAGGAACCATCCCTGGAGTTTGAGATACACCTGTTTTCCAGAATCAAGTTTCTCATCCGCGAGGTCTTAAGGATTTCTAAGTGGCATGTGTTTGCCAATGAGGAGGGCGACGTAGAAGCCAGCTGCTTGGTTTCGAGAAATGAATCGTCATTTAAATGCTTTAAGAGTGTCGCACCCTCTTCTCCACACAGCTGTGCCACGTGACAAGCTGTGTGCCCCGTTGACCCTGCAGCCTACGTCTGTTCCATGGTGATGTCTTGCAATGTAATGCCTTTGCGAGGATGGGGTGGCGCTGCAAGCTGCTGACTCACAGGAAATAGTGTTGTTCGAAACCCAAGACACTGGAGTGACTTGGATTGCTGTGGGATCATTTTTAAAATCGTTTTCAGAGTGTCCATGTTTTATTTATGTGTTTGGCAGGCTTTTCCTTTTGAATGGCCAGTCTATGAGGAATGTACTGTTCCTGCTGAGAAGATCTCTTAGCGATACTTCCAGGGGAGAGACTCGCCGTCTTTTGAATAGATTGTGCTGATTTAGAAGGCACAGAAGGCTGATTTCTCGGACTCACGTCACAGTATCGTGCCCTCAATCAAGAGAACTTTTACGGGGCGAATGAATGAAGGCAGTTCTCACAGGCCATCTGCCCGCAGAATATTTTTCCAACCTTCATATTCCTGTCTGCAGATTTAACGGGCTTTTTTTTTTTTTTTAAAAAAAATTCTTTTCTCTGACCATGCCTCTTTGACTGTGTTCACACTCACAGTCCAAGGCCATCACGGCTTTACAGTCAGATGGGAGTGGAGTGATATTTTCCCTAGGAAAGTTAATCTGCCATCTTCACAAATGATAAAACCAGGCTTCCGTGTGTGAGCAATGAAAACGCAATGGACGCACACTGGTGTTTGAACTTGAAAGCTGTTTCTGAAATAATTGCTTGGCTAGACTGCTACTGGGCATGATGAACCCTCACAAAAACAAAACAAAATAATCCCTCGACAGCCTCTGTTTTAAGAACAGAAAACCAGTGAGCTTGAGCCATAGGCATTTTGCCATTTGGATCTTCCTTCGGATGGTTTTGGCTGCCTGCAAAGATTCCTGACCATTCTTAAAGGTGTTTTCTCTTGACAGCTCTCCTCCCTTATAGCCCAGCCCTGCTCAGCAGCGCCCCCAAGGGGCAGCATCCAGCTGCTAGTCAGCAGTCAGGGAAGGTGCCTGCTCGCAGGGACTGCTGCCCCCTGTAGGTGAAAGAGTTTAACGGCTTTGGAAACAGCAAAACCAAAAAACCTGGCATTACCTTTTCTCCTTTTGGGCCACCAGCTTCGTGTTCACCCGTTCCCTGGGGGGCGGGGGGGGAACAAACAAAAAAGTCCAGTTGTTTTTAATGCATTCAGTCTTTAAAAGCAACTAGCCAAATGTAAGTACTTTATGTTTTGTGTATTCTGTGTGACACTTTGGCAGACATTTTTGTCTTTCTCATTTGTATTCCTGTTAGTGTAATGAATATTTAATCTTGTTAAAATACCAGCCAAATAAATATCTCCAGCGTCGGAGACCCCATTTGTTCTTTCCTGGCGATCTCTCCAGGGGGAAACATCACAACTCAAGGGCCTGACTCCTTTCTCCATATGCATAGCAGCCAAACTCAGTTGCTGTCTGCCTCTCCTGCTTTTTCTATTGCAAATATTTATTGCCTTAACTTGACTCTGCTCACCCTGGGAGGATGATTGTGCTTGTCAGCACACAGAAAAGGTTAAATATAAATTGCTAAGAAACACTTAGGCCTCAGAACCCTCTGGGTATTGAGAGACAGAGACCATTATTAAAGACCGGAAGAGGACAGACAGGCTCTCATTAGTGAATTCCAACAAGTGTGGTCCAGAAATCCTCCACCGAAAATTTAAGCTGTGAGGAACCTGTAACTGGACACCTCAGAACTGCAGCCAAGGTGACCCCAGCCTTTGCCGAGGACCAAACATTGACCAGTCAGGACTCCCCTAATCTGCATGGTAGAGATGCAAAACAGAAAATGACATGCACATGTGGCTCGCGCTAACCTCCCAGGCCCCAATGCTGACCAGTTATGAATGTCCCCATTCCTGTAGAAGAAATTGCAGGCTGGAAAGCTACTTGCTGGGATCAGGACTTCTCCCGAAGTGGAGTCCTGCATATCACTGCCTTGGCGCTACTGGTTCTTCTGACTGCTCTTATTATGGTTTAATGAATAAACCTATTTTTCCTCTTATCTGGTTTAGAGTGAATTTGTCTGTTCATCACCAATAAACCCCGTGTGTGACATGCCTCTGCCTTCTCAAGGAATGTTATCATTGCTGTTAGATGAAACTGGCCAGTTTACGTAAGCTGTAGCTGAAGTTGGCCAAATTCTTTAAACGTTTCTTCTTGCCTTGGTCAGTCCACCTGTTCTCTCTTCTGCAGACGCAACAGAAAACACTTGCTTCCCATTCTTGAACAACTTTTCCAAGATCTAAATGGCCTCAATGTTCCCAGCAGCCCAGATAATTGATACAATAGAAACTTCAGACATACTTCCTCTGACTCTAGCTTCCCTGCTCTTAGAACATCTACTGTAGGAAACCTGTGCTCTTGTGGTTTGAAGAATTCCTGTGTTACTGGGTTTACTGTGTTCTGTGAGTGGAACCTGAGCTGCCCTTGTCCCTCTTTGGGCTCTCTCTTCTGATCTTTACCTCTGTCTCAGGCTTCTTTCCTTCTCTCCCCATCTAACTGTGGAAGGTTGCTCTTCCTTCGAACTTGGCCCAGACTCTCTCCTCAGATGACTGCCCACCCCGTACCCTTGTCTAGCCTCATGGTTAGGGTATTGTTTAGACAAACAGAAGTTCATCAGCCTGTCATGTCTCTTCTTCGCTCTGCTTTAGACTTACGTATCTAATTCGAGAAGCAACTCATACCCAGCAATTTAAAATATGGAATGAGAACACACGCACGCATACATATGAGAAGAAAAGACAGGGTGACAAGTACCTTAACTGATGAATCCGGAAGTAGAAGAATGACAATGACTGTCTTTACAATGTATTTCTGAATGGCTTTTTAAAAATATTAATTCTGTTTTATGATTGAAAAGTAATTAGGGGATGAGATCTGCACTTATCCCTCTTGCCTACAGACGCTAGCCTGTTCAATATTGTATTGTCTTATATCCCCTTTCCCCTTTTTCTGAGAAGGCTCTCATGTGGCTTAGACTGGCCTTAAACTTACCATGTAGCCTTGCCTGGCCCCGAACTCCTGATTCTCCTGTCCTGACCTTCCTAGTGCTGGTATTATAGGCACAGGCCACCATGCATGCCTTCATCGTTTTTTTATTCTTGTCCCTGACATTCAATTCACCATCCAGTCTAGCCTCCCTAATGTACACAGAAGCAAACTTTACATAGTTCCTGAAAACACTAGTCACGTTGGCATGGTGTCAGTCATTGCTCCTAAAACGTCAGCATGTCCCCCTAGCTGTACTTTTTGCTTGGATATTTTTAGGGATGCTGGAATGTGCTTTTGTCTTTACACATGGCCTTTGGATTTTGAAGGTCCAGGTACTTGGAGCACAGGGCAGAAGAGCATGGAGTATCTCTGGTGAAGGTATATCCTGGTGCATGCCAGCAAACTCCGGGGTACCATACCATAGCTGAAGTAGTTTGGATCTAGTAATTTCCCTGCAGCCTCAAGTCATACAGTTCTAATAGTATCCCAAATTTTGGTTTTCTGATGGCTTTAGTCTAGAAAATCATCAAGACCATCAGAACACGGTATGCTTGTTTTACTTTATAACCAGGTCAAGAAATCCAGGTATCCCTTGGTCCTCGGGAGCTCCCGTGTCACTCTCCCCTCTTGGGTTAATAATACAGCCGTCTCAAACTCGAACGTCAGTAACATTTGCTCACTGACATGTCATATACTTTTTCCTCCTCTATTCAAACCAATGGCACCAGACAATTACCCAGTTTTACAGAATAATAGGAGACAAGCCCTAGCTTCTAGACCTCTAGTTCTGCTCCACAGTCTCACAGTTTTGACCCTGTTTGTTGAAACTTCCTGAGATACAATGATAACAGTCATGGTGCGTGGCTTGCTAATGTGTCTGCTCAACTGGAGAATTCTTCATGTGAACAGTGTCTCTGTGTTCCCAGATGGGAAGTGGTATGCAGAATTTCGGAACCATCTCAAGCAGTAGGAAGGCTCAGGGCTACTCTGATTCTTTCAAAGAGAGAATTTCTGGCAAGGATGCTCTGTGGTATACATGTATGGATTAAGTGAAGTAGTCATTTTTTTTTTTTCCGTAGTTCCCAAAGAGTAAACAGCCAGCAATTTCCTGTTATAAAACTAAAGGAAGAAATCAGGGACATGAGCTCCCTGCTAAAACATGGAGTCATTGCCACCCACTCAAGTCCATGCTTTTAGGAATACACTGTAACATCCTCTGCTTATTCATTAAAGACTGCAACTGTGAACCTGCTTCACTCATTCATATGTAAAAGCCCGACTCCCAGGACTTCGGAATGTGAATTTAATTTGACAACATGGTGGCAGACACTGTAGCTAGTTACTTGATAAAGATAACAAAACCTTTTATAATGACCATGTCTTTATAAAAAGAGAACACAGAGCCATACGTATAGGAAGGTATCAGTGGGTATGGATGGGGAACCATTGGAAGTTAAGAGAGGAGTTTGTAATGCACTCATGTCTAGAGCTCTCAGTGGGCCATAGCCCTGCCATCAACTTTATTCTAGACTTCCACTCTCTAGAACTGAGGGATGGCAAATGCTTGCTGCTTAGGCTGCTCCACTGGTGATACTACACGAGTCAAACCCTAGAAAGTTCAAATACAATATACGATGGATAGGGTAGCACTCTCAGGGATGAATGAATTCTTAAAACTGGTTCAAAGTCCAACTTTCCAGTTACTTTCAAGAAAACATTTTGCTGGCCACAAACGGGAGTTCATGTCAGTGCCTACATCCTAAATGCTCCCCAAAGTCAGCGGATCCTGGTCATGAAGCGGGAAAGTGGAGGAAACCATGCATTTCATCTTGACTGTCATCTAGAGATTTAGAATCACCATGGAAACTGATCTCTGGGAATATCTGTGTAGGGGTAATTTAGACTAGGGAAACTGAGGTGAGAAGATCCACCCTGAATATGGGTGAGACCATCCCATAGGGCTGGGGTTCTGGACTGAATAGAAATGAAAATGTGAGCTGAACACCGGCATCCATCTCTTGCTGCTGCTTGGAGGCTGCTGCAGTGTGACCTGGTGCCTCAAGCTGTTACTGCTGTGACCTCCCTGTCATCTACCCGCGAGCCCCAACAAACCTTCCTTTCCTTAATTGCTTTTCTCAGGCATTTTGTCACAGCAGCAAGACAAGCAACTAATTCAGGAAATTAGGATTTAAAGTTTCGTTTTTTTTAAAACTCTTTAGGGACCAGAAGGGTTGCCACCAAGGAAGCCTTTGTTTTATCTATCCTTGTTGGATTTAATTCTGTGTTTGGAAAGACCTTGGAGTCTGTTTTTGGACAAGAGTTTTCCGTCCTTCCTAGTCTGTGAGCATCAGTGCAAAGTTATACTTTGATACATGGAAGGGAAATAGATGATTTTGCTATCATTTGTTTTGGATCAACTGTTTGGAGAAGGGAACACTGGGATTGGTTGCTGGGAGGTATTGCACCAGTCTCCAACAGCTCCAACTGAGCCTCACGATGGCACAAGATGATATTACTGGACATTTTCAATGTCGATCTTTGAAAACATGTCAGATGGATGCCACATCAGTACTCAGTGTTCAGTCTACACAGAGAACGCTCCACTTCCGCCTACGGAGCTCAGTGCTCAGTCTGCACAGAGAGCACTCCATTTCCGTCTATGGCGCTCAGTACTCAGTATTCATATACAGAACACTCCACTTCCGTGTACGGAGCCCAGTGCTCAGTCTGCATAGAGAATGCTCCATTTCCGTCTACGGAGCTTAGTGCTCAGTCTGCATTGAGAGCACTCCACTTCCATCTACGGAGCTCATGACTTTAAAAGGTGATGGAACCTATCTAAAGGTGACTAAAATTTCCAGAGATAAAGACAATGAAGAACAGTGTGCCTGGGCTGGGTAGTGAGCAGACTTTCCTTCGGGGGACAAGTGTGCTGGGAGTTGATGTTGCTCGCAAACAACCCAACAGGATGAGAGCAACCGTCTGAAAATGATGTCTGCCATATGAGGGAAATTCACTCTCTTTTCCATCATTGCACGCGAAAACACACATGTAATCCTGCCGACTTCACCCTCCGGTGAATCGCTCTCATTTTCCTCTTTCTTCTCCTTTTTCCCTTCTATTTTGACTTGTGCTGTGAAGGGAGAGGTTTCTTTTGCCCGTGGCTCTCCTTTGGGTGGGACAGGGAATATGCAGTGGAAGAGATCAATTCTGTTTGAGGACCGAAATGCAAGCGCGGGCTGCTGGGATGAGGGATGAGCCATCGGTCTTTTAGTCTGGAGCAGGGAGGGGACAAGTGTGAGGGGTGTGCTTGCTCCTCGTCCTCCCATGAGCAGCTGCCTCAGCAGAATCTGGGCTGTGGAAGTGCCATAGCTCCTGCCTGAGGGAGAGCTGAGGTCCAGAACTCGACGCAGGCGTCCCATAAATCAATGCCAATTTAAAAGGGAAGATTGTTTTAACCTTGGAGTGTCACTTTGTGTGTCTCAATACATGGTCCATTATTTAATCCCAGCTCCTCCTCCACTGTGCTCATTTGTTATAGCCAGGACCATCAGGCGTGCAACAAACTGCAAACCGCAACAACCTTACTATCCCAGACCAGATGGGGGTGTCAGGGGCAGTGCCAAGTGAAAAATGCAGCTGCCTCATCGCAGCGCACTTGGCCCTTTGCTTTGTGAAGAAGACATGGTAACAATTCAAAAATAGCATTCCGTGTGGGTCCCGGGGGTGGGGCTCGCTAGCGATCCTCGTGGGACCTCAGCGTAGGAGCCCCATCTACTCTCCGGAGGAAACAGAATAAACTGTTTAATAAGCTACCTCCCAACAATCACAATAGACATAAACACTTCTGACTCAAAAGGGTTCTGTTGCATTATTTCGGGGAAAAAGAAGCTTTGGTTCCTCACCTTACACTATCATGTTCCATCCCCAAAGTCACACTCAGAGCACCCGTGAACTGACGTGAAGCTCAGCTCTGTAGTAGTGACGATAGTAACTGAGGTATTTTTAGGAGAGACAACAACTGAGCTCCCGGTACCGGTGTGCAAGTCTCAAACCTCCCCACTCAGCTGCTAAGCTCAGTTTCCATTAAAGTAAGTATAACTTTAAAGTCTAAAATTAACGTTTTTCAACCTCAGACTCTAAAGTACAAAGGTTCCATATATTTTCATTTAAGAAGAAACTGACTCATCAGTAAGAAAAAGTATATCCAGAACTAATGTTAGAAGACCTGTAAAGACTCAAGCCTTAAAAGTTTTGCAGGGTTAGCAAAAATTTAAGCAGCTGAGCCGTGACTTGGTACATCTTGTACTGATGGGGAGAGGGATAAATTATAGTACTTCAACTTTTCTAGCTGACTTGTGACATCAGACCAACTTATTCTCATTATTTTGAAGCTTTTACTGTAAGTCCTATTTTATAACAGTAGATGTCATTACAAATGTCCTTACGCTGATTCAATTTAGATACCCTCAGGCTTATATTGTTTTTTAAAACTTGTCAGCTTCTAATGTTTTTTTTTTTAAAAGTTGGTATCAATTTAGTTAAGATATTTAATAAAGAGTCGGGAAACATTGGAACCATCCTAACACAGCACTCCCTGAAAAATCCAGACGACTGAAAAGATTCAAGACAGGATCATGATCTTAAAATTATCAAGAGCAACAGAGTGCTTACATGCTTGATTTTAAATTTATCAATTATGCATTTTCCAGGCCTTTACATTAAGTTTAATTTGGTGAACAAATAACTGAGATTTTTTAATTAATCAATTTGGCCTTGAAAACGAATGAGAACGTAGTTTTGAGCACCAGATGTCTTCAAGACTTGGGCTGGGAGGTTGAGGGATGGCAAGAACCCTAGCTGCTCTGGCAGAAAGCCGGAGTTCAGTTCCCAGAACCCTTACGGTGTGGCTCACAACCATCTGAAACTCCGTTTACAAGATATCTGACACCTTCTTCTGGCCTCTGTGGGCACCAGACATGCGTGTTACACACACACACACACACACACACACACACACACACACACACACTCAGAAAAATAAGTAAATCCTGAAAAAGAAAAGACTTGGTTTGGAACACAGGTTCTTGGAATGTGTGAACAAAGATGCAGTATTGGTTCCAGAAGTTTATAGGGGACAAATGCCAGAAAAACAAAGCAAAAACACAGGGGTATGTTTCTAGCTTTTTCTGTGAGACAAGGCATCAACGATGAGCTGGCAGTGACTGAAAGGACCCAGTTGCTGTCATTTGGGCAAGGAAAAACAAAATGACACTGTCTAGGTTTCCCTATGTGATTAGACCCCCAAGTGTTGTTCTTGAATGACGAACCCATCAATGACTTCATTCCTACCTTTGAGTCCTGTGTAGTCATCGGGTACAATCAGGAGTTAGTCACTTCAGTGTTTCCATGGCAATAGTCTTTGTTCCAGGTGTGGTGACAAAGGATGTTATACGCTACACTTACCCATCCCTGAGGAGGCTCTCACTCTTGATCTATGGGATGTGGATGCGTGCCTGGGACCTTGGTTTGGAGAGGTTCAGTTGTGGTATGACCCAGAACTTCAGAAAACAAATAATTTCTTCTAGCTCTTCATTATCAAACTTTGAACTATTACTTTAAAATCTATAAAACCAAACTCTTGGTTTATAATATGTCTAAGAACCTTTTAAAAATTTAAATTGGGAAACATAGTGCTCAGTATGGGAAGATGTTTTGAGCATATATCTCAAGGTCTGAGATGTTAGGAATTAAAAATGCTTTTGCCCCCTACAAATATAACCACATAAAAATCTCTGTACCCACAAGCTGTGGGAATAAAGAAGCTGTACCTTATTGAAGTAGCCACCAAAAGTCTGCGGTAGTCCTTGTAGCCCAGGAGGTCCCTGCAGGAGAAAACAAAGACAAACACATTTACCGAAACACTGTGTCTTTAAATAATACACCCATAGTCTATTTTGTCAAATATTCTACTGAATAAAGAATTTCATGGTTATCAACATATAATAAGATTTCTAAAGTTCATTTTTTTCTACATTAAGTCTTACATGAATTGGAAGTACAGTCATATAGTGTGGGAGAATTATCTGTATTCTGTCAATCATATTTTAAATAAATGCTGATTGGCCAGGCAGGAAGTATAGGCGGGAAAAACAGACAGGAAGTAGAGGTGGAGCAAAGAGAATGGAAATATTGTGGGAAGCAGGAAGCTCCCTCTGTTATTCCTGCCCAGACCACTGAGAAGAAAGGTATAACCTACCCAGCTGTGAAAGGTACCGGGTGGGACAGAAACCCCAACAAGCAGGCCCCTCATGTTACAGTCATAAATGGCAACAGGAAACATTTACATGTTCAAGCACCATCAAACTCTCTACTAAAAGGAATTCCACCCACTATTCCAGAAAGGACATCATAACTTCAGTTTATTTCTGTGTTTTTCACGGGATGGAATGAATGTTTTGCAGAAATGCACGGTACCACATATGGATAACATAAAATGTGGGGAAGTACTTTTTTTTCTGTTGATTTACTCTTACGAATTGTTTGAAATGGGATACACATGAATCCTAAAATGGGATACACATTTTAGAACAGAAACAGACATGTAAAACCTTACTTCTAAGGCATTTTAATGCTGGCAGTTATTGTCTTGAGACTATTTGCTTGGCATTATATCCAGCTTCGGCTGGATAGAAAATAATAAGTAAGACAGCTGTCCATCTCTAGAGCTACCAGGAAAAAAAGATAGAAAAGAGTTCTCTAAGATTTTTAAGGGTTACAATTTTGGGAGAGAATCATAAGAAACACCAAGTATAGCATTGTTTTATGAAGGAGCTGCAGTCAAGTTAGGCTGAGCTATCTCAGACAGGAGATGCATATACTTCATTTAGACCTCAAAAACTAGGAAGAGAGAATATACTACAGAGGCAAAATTCCCAATGTTTTACCTAAGAAGACCAATTAGATGATTGAACAAATTAAAGAGCCCCATTGAGCAAAGAATGTTTTTAAACAGAGAACTTAAGTTTTGAAATGTGAAGAAAAATATTTGAGGAAGAGTCGCTTTCTATGTTCTGATTCAGGTTAACATCTTAGGAGTATGGACATACTTAATGCAGACTAACATGCTAGGTGTTTCCTACAGATGGCTGGTGTCTGAATATCATTTAAATATGAGATCTTGGTATTGTGTCAGTAAACATAGAGGACATGAGGGTGAGGTGATGGATTCCTGGGAACAAGTTGCTGTAATACTTGAGACAGTAATGGGACCTGCAAACAATTGAACTGGCTGTGATCAGAAAGACAATACTGTTACCTTGCTGAAATAGATAAGTAAAAAGAGTCAAAGAATTCTCTTGACGTCATGTACTTTTCCATCATTCAGCCTTGTGTAAAATATTCCAGGTTCGTTAGATGAAATAATGAGGAAGTCAACCATTGAATTGAGGGCAGTTGAAGACTTTCTAGCCCAAACCACACAAGTTAATAACTTATTCTTCAGAGGAGATAAGATATTCCATACATGTTAATCTTTCTGAAAACATATATGAGGCAAGGAGAAATTTTGGACACCATGGTTAATAGCATCGACTATGTGTTAAAGCACTAAGGAGTCTAAGTGTCAAGAATTCAGTCTGTGTGTTCATGATAGGACCCTTTATAGGCAATTACTGTGATACGATGGATTAATTTAGTTTCATATGCCTTCTTCCTAGTATGAGAATTGATTATGATGGCTTCTAAGTAGAGTAGAACAATTAAAAATATTGCCTCTTGAATAGAGTCTAAGGATCAATCAAATAATAACATTCCAAATTTATATAGTGCTAATTGCGTGCCATTTATTATGATTTAACTCATTAAGTTCTTGCAATGACATCGCAATAAATGTGCCATCACTATTTATGATTCAAAGATAAAGAAAGAGAAAGTTAGAGTTGTTAATTGGCTCAAACTCAAATCACTGTCATCTGGTAAGGCTAAAATTTAAGTCACCTTTGACCTACTCTTTTTCTGTTGCAACTGATGTGTAGTCATTGTACATAGTGCCATGTTTCATGAGAACAGCTTCTTTTAAGTGTATCATGCATTCAATCATGTCTATCGTCCAGTATCCCAACCTCATTCTATCTCTTCCTGCTGGTCTTATCCTTGCACCTTCTGTTTTCATCATGTGTGTATGGGGGGAGGGCATGTTTAAGCATCTATATAAAATCTAGGACCCCCCCCAAATGAGAGAAATCATGTGATATTTGTCTTTCTGATTCTGACTTTTGTTTAAAATGATAATTTCAATTTGCATTTACTTTCCACTAAGTAACCTAATTTAATTCTTTATGGTTGACTAGAACTTCATTGTGCACATGTGTATAAACATTTTCTTTCTTTATCTACTGGTGGATACCAAGGAAGATTTCACTGCGTGGCTGTTATGAATAGTGCTTTAATAAACATGATATTCAAAAGTCTTTCTTATTAACTCAACATCCTTTGGGTATATTCCCATAAGTGGTATATCTGGGTTATAAGGTAGATATATTTCTACCTTTTGTACTAATTTCCATAGTGGCTGGACTGACTTACATCCCAACTAGTAGTATATAGGGATTCTTTTCTTCATATCTAGAATTTGTTGTCAATTATTTTCTTAGTTGCATCCTTTCTAATTAGAATAAAGTAGAACCTCAATGTAGTTTTAATTTTCATTTCCTTGATGGCCAAGAATGTTGAACATATATTTATTATCAATTTGTGCTTCATCTTTTGGTAATTACTCATTTTAATAGTCCTTTTATTGGCTGGGTTGGGTTGTTTGTTTCTTTGATGTTTAGTTTGTTGAGTTCTTTCTCTCCCGCTCTGTAGGCTGTTCTTCACTCTATTTGCTGCTTCCTTTGAGGTACAAAAGCTTTTAGATTTTGTTCATTGCTGTTGTTGGCACTACTTCCTGAGGAGCCTGTGTCTCGATGTGTTAACTGTTTTAGAGATTTGAGTCTTACAGTAATGTCTTTGATCCATTTGGAATTAGATATATTTGGATTTTTTTACAGGTTGCAAGTTAGGCAGAGATGTCTCCAGTTTCATTTTTCTATATATGGATATCCAGTATCTCCAACACCATTTGTTAAAGAGAACATCATTCCCTCAATGTATGTTTTTGCATGTGTCAAAAACTAGGTGTCTTTATCTGTCTATTTCATGACTCTGTATGTCTGGTTATTCTTTGCTAATACCATGTTGATATTCTTTTTTAATTTAAAATGAATTTTATCTTCATACAGTATATTCTGATCTCTTTTTCCCTCCCTCATCTCCTCCCAGATCCTTCCCACTTTGCCACCATTCCAAATATGTCTTCTATCTTTTCATCTTTGGAAAAGAAATGGGCACAAAATAAAAACAAAACAAAACAAAATAAAGCCAACCAACTAAATAGACAACACCAACCAAACAAAGAAAAGGCAAAAGAAACATATACATACATACATACATACAGAACCCCCAATTGGAAACCATAATATACATATATAATATACAAGTAATCAGTAAGATATACAAGATCAGTAAGGTAAAAAAAATTCTCAAGCAAAGCACTATGAGACAAAATAGTCTGCAAAAATATGTCTGAATCTGCTTTACATTGTATACCTACCGCTGGCGCCTGCCTAGAGCCTTTGCCACTCCTGACTCGTGTTTGTGGTACTGGAAGGTACTGTGGACATTGTTAGAGTAGAAAGGTAAACACCAAATCTGTAGTGTAACATGAAGTCAGATATGATACTTTCAGCTTTGTTCTTTCTTCTTCAGATTACAGTGACTATCTGGAATATTTTTATGGCTCCATGTGAATTTTAGGATTATTTTTTTCTAGTTTGATTTCTCTGTAGCATATCAGTGTGTAGATTACTTTTGGTAATACAGTCATTTTCATAATATTTCTATTGATCTGTGAGCATGGGAGGTGGTGGTGGCTAACTGCTGCTTCTCAGCCTGACACATCTGGGCAGAGAGACATTCAGCAGAGGAACTGACTCTATCAGATTGACCTGTGGGCACATCTATAGGGATTTTCTTAATTGTTAATTGATGTAGGGGCACTTGACCCCCTGTGAACAGTGCCATCCTCAGGCAGGTGGACCTGTGGTAGCTGAGCAAGTTAGCTGAGCAAGACAAGGGGAAGCAAATCAATAAGTAGCTTTTCTCCATTGTCTGTTTTAGTTCTTGCCTCTAGGACCCTGTGTTGGCTTCCTTTGATGATGGACGATCACCTATAAGGAAAATACATGTCCCCACAAGTTGCTTTTGGTTATGGTGTTTATCACAGCAACAGGTATCAAATCAGAACAGAAATTTCTATCAGGAAAGTGAGATGTTGGTGTGATCGGCCTGACCATGTTTCTTGTTCTTCTTTTCTTTCTGTCTTTGTATTGTGATGACATTTGAAACATTAGGCTAGAAAAGCCAGTGAGAGACCAGAGCTCAATAGGCTCTTATTGTGGGGGTTTAGAAGATAACGTTGAAGGAGAGGAGCAGAGAAAAATGGATACCTCAATAAAAACAATTTTAAAAAGTTAAACAAAAAGGGAAGAAAACATTGAGAGCGCACGGGCAGTAAAGCCTGGCTTTGCAAATTCTAGAAGGAACTTTGAGAATCCCTTAAGAGTGATATGTTGAATTAAGAATCTGTGAAAGTTACCCCTGATAACGGGAAAGGGAGGAGGACAGGGAGGAGAGGGAAGCAGATGAGGAGGGACTGGGCGTGAGGCTGGACTTGCTTTCTATTTTGCACAATTGAAAAGTCTACCAGTCCAGGAGGTGCAAATCTTTCTCCTGGGTTTGGATAACGCTGGCAAGACAACTCTGCTGAAGCCTCGCGTCTGAAAGC